GACAAAGATTGGTGCAAATGAATTACTGGCAAAGAGTCAAAAATGCCTTTTGAAAATCAACAATTTTTTCACAATTTCTGTGTACAAAGGCTATGGGAAAAATTAAATATTAAAAAATCTATAATAAATCACTTGATGACGTTACCATGACGTCACTCTTTGGGACACATCTTTGCTATAGGGACTATTCCTGTGGTAACTTTCAATGATGTATGACAAAGATTAATGCCAAAAGTGGCACTGAGAAAAAACGTGTACAAAGTCTATGGGATTTTGGCGACAAAAAGAAATTTAAAAAAAATTCAGAACAAAAAGAAAGGCTTTTTGGCAAATTTTGCGAAAAAGCCAAAAAAAAAATCAGAACAAAAAGAAAGGCTTTTTCGCAAAATTGCAAAAAAGCCAATAAAGCAAAATACAATGCAGAGCCAAACTACAGACACAATAAAAGGATTACAAATAAAACTAGAGGTCTATGTCTGTTTGCAACAGAACATAGGGCTTTTCCTCATTATGATTTTTTTTATCAATAATATGCCCTGAATATGCATGAACATAAAATCTGTCAAAGTTAGCCGAAAATCGGCTAAAACGGTCACTGTGGACAGGATTTGACCTTGGCAATACGATGTATGTGCGTGTGTACAAGGTCTTTGCTTGGACAAAGAGTGATCTAAATAAATTACTGGCAAAGAGTCGAAAAGGCACTTTGAAAATCGACAAATATTTTTTAATTTTTTGATGACGTCATCGTGACGTCACTTCGAACTTTGCATACTAGTATGATTAACTACCTACCCACCAAGTTTCATGACAATTGGACCTTTTCTTATATGAGTTTTAAAAAATCGCATTTTGATGACGTCATGATGACGTCACACATTTTTCAAGTTTTGTGCGAATAGCTATTACATAAAAGACCAAATGCAAAAAAGAATTTTGCATTTTGCATGTTGCGTTCAGGAGATATGGCTAAAAGGTCCAAAAAAATTAATATTCATATAAAATCTCAGGATGACGTCATCATGACGTCACCTCATTTTTAATCTATAACACATCCTGGTATAGCCACATACCAAGTTTCAACCCAATCGGACTTACATTTCTGTAGATATAAGACTTCACAATATGTAGGCCTACGTAAATTTTCAAAAATCAATAAAAAAATTAGGTGATGACGTCATCGTGACGTCATAGTCTTGGCATAATTTTTGTATGAGGGTCTTCCTTGGCTGTAACTTTGATGACGATTCCAGATCGCCAAGTTATAAAAATGGTGGCTTGAAAACGTGTACAAAGTCAATGGGTTAAAAATCCAACAGCAGAAAAACTGCACCTTTAAATACGTGATTTGCCTTTAAACTGAAACATTTTTATAAAATATTACTTGATATTCTGACTCTTGGGAATATTTTCAATCAAATGGCAAACGTAAAAAATACGATTTCTTTTTCCTTCTCATAGTAATTCTCAGCCGAAGTTCAGAACTACTCAGTAAGATATATCAGTGTTGTATAGGGAAAGACTTGTGGAGAAAGCTGTGTACAAAGTCTATGAGAAAAATTAATTATTCATAAATCCATAATAAATCACTTGATGACGTCACCATGACGACACTCCTTGGGACACATCTTGGCTATAGGGACTATGCTTATGCCAACTTTCAATGATATCTGACAAAGATTAATGCCAAAAGTGCTATAATACGTCCCTGTCTATGCGCATGCATGAACATAAAATCTGTCAAAGTTAGCCGAAAATCGGCTAAAACGGTCACTGTGGACAGGATTTGACCTCAGCAACACGTGCGCTGCAGGCTGACTGACATACCATGTATGTGCCTATGTACAACATACGTGCATGTACATGTACATTGTGGACGTCCTGTCCTGTGCATGTTTTGAAGCAGAGGTATTGTCAACGTGAAGTTTTAAGCGTGCGCAGGGTATGTTCGAGTTCGCTTATCGCCTCGAAACTTTAAAATGTTTTAGACCAACCCTTCAATCGACAATTAAAGTAAAAACAAATATAAAAACTGCCATGGTTGATTTTTCAGGAATTTTCAAATGAAAAAGGGTCTTTTTATTATAACTTCCGGTCTGATGACGTCATTCGCCTAAAACTTCACACACGCACTTCGCATGTCTTAAGTGGGTCAAGGTCATCATATACACCAATATTTAGGCGATTCCGACAAACTTCGCCACAGACATCTACTCAAAATACATTTTTGCTAATTTTCAACCTGTCGCTAGAGGGCGCTCGAAGATTACAAGACGTCATCGGTAGATGATTTGAAGAATACTATCGGCCAAGAGACTAACACCGTTGAAAGCAAGTTCATTTCTATTACCACTTTCAAATAATAAGCCACTTCCTGTTTGGGCCTTTTTCGACCGGAAGCAAAGGACATTTATAATGAGAAGAGAGCAACTTTGTGATAATAAAAATAGTAGTAAAGATTTTAGCAGCAATGATGAGAATTGTGATGTTGTTGAAGAAACAAACAGTGACGTAATGAGTCAATTTTCAGATACTGAGGAAGGGGTTATGGAAATCTTGATGCTAAGGAAAGTATGAAACAGATTGGATATGCATATTTGCAAAATCGTGAAGTGTCAGCTCAGGAGGCAGTGTATCGTGTCTGTACTTTTAAGGTTGAAAGAATGCTCAAGGAAATTAGAATTCATTCCTGTTGGAGAAAATCCTGTTAGGATGAGTTTACCATTGAAATTGATCCAGGATAAATCAGATGAAGATGATGAAAATATTTGGATGCATAGCAAGATTGATAGATACAATGCACGACCAAAGATGCATGAATTTGATGAAATGTGTTTAGTTTCATTCTGCTCAGAATACAGAATTTTGTCAAGCACTGAAGCATTGAAAGTATATAGAAAGGAAGCCCACAATGTAAACGTTCATAAGTCACAAAATGGTTTAGGATATGTACAGAAGCGTACTCGAAGTCAGTGTGCTGTCATTAAATATCCTAGATTTTCTGTTTCAAAGTGCCCAGAGAAATATTATCACAGCATATTTCTGCAAATTTTTCTCCCTTATCGTGTTGATGCACAATTGAAACCTCCTCACTTCAAAACCTATAAAGAATTCTACAAGACTGGCAGTGTTAAACTCCATGAATATGACTATAATGTACAACTTGTAAATTTAATTGTAGATACTAATCATCAGAAATTTGAGGCTGGTATAGAATCTATGGAAGATGTTGAGCAATATTTGCAGCAGTTTGGCTTTCAAGAAGATGCATGGGCTTTAATTTGTCCAGAGACTGAATCAGAAAGAATTGAGTGTGAAAATGAGAAGGATCTAGTTGTTCAAGACAGTGAAGATGAAGGTGCTATTCCAGATTTGAAAGATAATCAAAAGGACAGTACAGGGAATTGCATTGAGTACCAGTTGCATAGAATGCCCAGAGATGAAGTTGGGTCTTTCATGAGATTGTTGAATGTTAAAAAACGTGAAGTTTTCTTTAAGATCAGAAAGTGGTGTTTAGATAAAGTAAATGGAAAAAGTCCTGAACCTTTTCATGCATTCATAACTGGAGGAACTGGAACAGGCAAGAGTCATTTGATCAAGTGTATTTATAATGAAGCTGTGCGTATACTAGGAAGATTAACAATTACTCCAGACGATGTGACTGTTCTGCTCACTGCTCCGACTGGCGTTGCTGCATTTAATATCAATGGACTTACTTTGCACAGTGCTTTGTCAATACCAACTGATGTGTCGTTGCCTTATCAACCGCTTGGTGATGAAAAAAATAAGTTCCTTACGCAATGAATTAGGTCAGTTACAAATTCTTATTATAGATGAAATTTCTATGGTTGATCAGAAAATGCTGTGCTACATTCATGGATGACGATGACAAATCAAACAAACAAGAAGTCAGTGTCCTTTTGGTAATGTCAATGTGATTGCAGTTGGTGATTTCTATCAGTTACCTCCAGTGAAAGGAAAATCATTGTGTCACAACACCATTGAATCAGCATTATGGCATGACAATGTCAAGAAGGTTGAATTAAATGAAATCATGAGGCAAAAGGATGATAAGAGATTTGCAGAGGTTTTGAATGAATTGAGGGTCAAGACAAAAGAAGATGCTTTATCTGATGAGAGTACTGCAGTGCTGCAAGGTTGTGAAACTGGAGAAGATTGCTATGATGCCATTCATATTTACCCTACAAATAAACAGGTTGACAAGTTCAATGTTAAAGTGTTACATGATAAGTGTGCAGAATGTATATGCATAGAAGCAAAGGGTTTTCAAAAGGATGGCAGTGGCAAAATGAAGCAAAGAGGAAACACTTTAAAATCAACTCACACAAGTCTATGTAAATCATTGTGGATAGGTGTTGGTGCACGAGTTATGTTGACTAAGAATATTGATGTGTCAGATGGATTAGTCAAGGTGCATTTGGAACTGCGAGTCATATTGAGATGTTACCTGATCAGTCTCAGCCAGAATTCATCAAAGTCAAATTTGATAATGAAAATGTTGGATCCAAATTAAGGAGAGAGGCAGTGTCACTAAATGATCCCAATTCTGTTGTGATTAAGATTCAAGAAGAGTTTATTGGTAAGAAATGTGTAAGAAAGCAATTTCCATTGAAGCTTGCATGGGCGTGTACAGCACATAAAGTACAAGGCATGACAATGAGTAAATCTGTAGCGTGTCTAAATCGTACATTTACAGCTGGTCAAGCATATGTCAGTTTGAGTCGTGTCACATCATTGAATGGTCTGGTTATTGAAGGATTTGATCCCAAATAATATATATTGTGATAAATCAATCACTCATGCGTTAAGTCAAATGCCTGCATTTATTGAAGATGTTGATTTGAATCTTAACCACATTGCAACAACGACTTCGACATGTACTTCTATTATCTTGCATAATGTACAAGGATTGAGAGCCCATTATTTAGACATGAAACGCCAGCGTGAACTGATTGAATCTGATTTCATCTGCTTAACAGAAACATGGATTGAACCGGATGAAGTCATTGAATTGAACTTAGAAGGATTCAAGTTCTATCATCAAATCCGAGGTATGTCATATGATGATTCTATGAAATTGTTACAGCAACAGAGTCATGGTGGTGTAGCAGTTTATGGCAAACAAGACAGGTGTTTTAGTCGATTGAGTTTAGCTGTACAGAATTTGGAATACATCGCATTTCATATAATTTCTAGTATGTCTGTAGTAATAGTTAAGGCTGAAACGATACATCGATATATCAGTGCATCGCGATACATTCGTTCACGATACGATATATCGGTACGAATGTTTCATATCGATATTTTTAATAATAATATAATAAATAACAGCGGCAGCGCACTGAACAAAATTGCAAGCAACTGCGATGCATGAGAAGCACGAAATGTAAAAATAATAATGCGAGGAGTTGAAGTCTATACCTTTCTGAGCGCGCGCACGTGAAAAGTTCATGCGGACTCTCCATCATGTCCCTTTTCTTCAGGTGGTGCAGGCATTTCATGTACCGTAATTTTCGGAATATAAGCCGCGGCTTATCATTGATTTTGCCCATGAAAATGTTTACTGCGGCTTATACGCAGGGCGGCTTATACGCCGAGCCTTGAAGAATAAAAATAAGATTCACATGTGTATTTAATGTACTGGTACAAGAAGAGATGTGTTGCTGAAATGAATTATCAATTAATAAAGTTATCAACAAACCGAAACCAAAACCGAGCGGTAAAAAGTACGATGATCATGATCTCTTAGACGCTTGCGACCAGCCGTACGTGATACCATGGAGGATTCCTCCATCGTGAGACTAGTGCAGCTGCTACCATGCAGCATGCTTAATTCCCCAGCGGACCACACCATTTGTGGTAATGAAGGGGTGGTGTTCTTTCTTGGGAACAATAATTACCAATATTTCCGCTGATTAAAGGGAATGTACAACATTTGCTTTTGCTGCAATTTTCAGACATAAATGGATTTGGAGGATTAGTATGTTATAGCAAATATTGTTACACTGACTTGTTTCACATTTTGGGTTCGTAAATGCTGGAAAAAAACAAGAAAACCAATCATATTCTTGTAGTCTGGTTCCCAGACCCCACTTAAGATGAAACGGAGCAATTTATAGACTTTGGGAAATTGTACGATCAGAGAATCAGTCGAGCAGGCGTGTAGTCTTCACAGGTGTGTAATCAATTACAAGAAAATGCAGACGAACTAAATATGAAACACTAGGAGCACTTTTTGAAGAAAGCCAGTTTTCTCCAATGCATGTCGGCCGTCCAGCGTTGGAAAAATACAGTTTTTCTTTAAAATGTCAGCACACCAGGAGCCACAACTTTACAGGATGCTTTAGACTGCATTCCCTAACAATCAAGTAAGATATTTCGTGATAATTTGATCGTTTCGTTTTTTGATGTTTGCAAATGTTGTATCTTCCCTTTAATTTGTACGCAATAAAAATTACTATGTATTTCACTGACTAATGTAAGGAAAGTATGAGTATATTATGCAGTGTATTGTACAACAAACTATCACCAGCTGAACCTACAAGTACAATGACAACATTTTGGAACATGTTAAATATTAGAGCTTGTAAGATTATGTAATTTTGAATTAATGATAGATCTAATATATCGATATTTGAAAGATCAATAAATAGGATCTATTGTATCCAATTTTATTTCTTGCTTTGTTCTTTGTCTCTGTTTCTCATGTGTCTCTGTCCTCAAAATAGAGCCTTCTAATCTTATTATGGGTTAATTAGTTGTAAATTACATGCTTTATTCATAAGGATAAGCACATCATTGTTTGGAGTATGGTGAGACCGCCTGCTCCGGCAGTCATGACCAAGTTGGTCATTCAATCAGGAGGATCGCATGCTAATGAATACGATTCAGATCCAGACGGTCATGTTTAACGCGCTCCTGCGATACGCCTTCAGACCAGGGTGACCGTAAGGTCATGCCCAAATTCTGCTAAATGCACTTCAAAAATCTGTCAGATTAACAAAAAAATCTGTCAAATTCCCCAGAATCACTCGATATACACTATAAACACTTAAAATCACATGCAGGTGTTGTAGTATTGCCTTAATTAAGGTTCAGATTACATTATAAACAATCTGTAGTCACATAAAGATGTTATGAAGTTTCGTAAATTTCAGGCAAAATCCGGTTCCAAGTGAACCTCAGCAGCTAGACCAGGCAACCTGTCCCATTATGCAAAGGTTTGCTTGAATAGATTGGAGCTTTTTTAAACAAATGTACCATGTTTTTTTCAAATTTGCTATATTTTTCTGTTAAATATCCACATTTGGAGAATTCTGCCAGAAATCTGCAAAAAAATCCATTCTGTCAAATTTTCTGTCGAACTTTTTTTTTTTACGAAAAATTCTTTCAAATTTAGCCGAAATTCGGCTAAAACGGTCACCCTGCCGAGGACCAGTTGAGGGCGCTCTTATGTAATAGTGCCTCGAACATGGAGCTTGTATAGCTCTATGGCCTCGAACCACAATCTGCATTCATAAGATGCGCCTAAATTAATGTAGAGGTGATTGGGAATGACACGTTTTTCAGTACTGTTGCAGTCCTCTTGGGTTAAACAAAATACATGCGGTTAGATTCGCAAGATTTCATTTATATACCAAGCCTGTTGTATTTAGGGATAATGCTATCCATAGTTCTATTTTATGTGCCACTACAGGGGGTGCCCTACCGGATGATGACGTCATCACACTTTTTTTGTCTGGCACTCTACACTGTTATACTTCCTCGAGGAGTTCTGAAGAGGATAACCACCAAGTACCAAGTACCAAGTACTGAACACTTTCATAATTTATATATCTGTAGTCAAATGCTTCTGTTTTCGAGTTCAATTTAATTTCTATTTCACTTCTGGTAACACCGGAAGTAAAGGTCAAACGGTTCTGTACCCGGGAAGAAGAAATGTTGCTCAAGGCACCGTCTACAACTTCATGAAAAAATGAACGTGATACTCCATTTAGTTCAAGAGATATAGCTCAAAATATTTTGTCACAATTTGCCCTTAAATTGCTTGTAATTTGATACCCGATGACGTCATTGTGACGTAACACAAGTTATAACATCTTTGTAAGATGGTAGAAATTCACACAAGGTTTTGTACTCTTACCGTAAACCGTTGGGAAGAAATGTTTGCTTTGTTTTCATTTCAGGCTAACGTCTTCATTTTGAATTCACCTAACTTTGACCTTCCGGTAGACCCAGAAGTAAAGGCCAAGCGAGTTTACGCACCAGACAAAAAATGTTTAGCTATTCATGGTCTATCTGATAACAGAATACAAACATCATTGATTATTTAGTTCAAGAGTTATAGGTGAAAGTAATTGGTCAATTTTTCAGCTAAAATCGCTTGTAATATGACACCCGATGACATCATAATGACATCAGTGTAATATGCACCTCTTAGGATGAGGGTCGATATATTGAAAGTTACAAGTTCCTATCACAGAGGTGTGAGTGACCACTGATAAAAATAGCTGAAAACAGCTGGAAAAGGTGTAAAAAAGCTGAACTTTGGAAATATCCTTTACTTTTGTACACAGCAAGTGAGGAAAAAAAGCTGCAATCCAAAACAAAAAAAGCTGAAATCAGCTTTAAAGCTGAGATGTCACATCCCTGCTATCATAAACCGTTTTGGAGAAAACCCGCGGAAACGTGCTGTACGGAAAAAAAAAAAGAAAGAAAGAAAGATTAATCGTAACAGATCCAAAGAGTGGTCGGGTTGTGCCCGACCACTCAATTAATCGCAACAGATCCAAAGAGTGGTCGGGTTGTGCCCAACCACTCAATAATCTATCTTGAGTGAAGCACATTGAGCTCATTCCTGTTGTTCGTGGCTTATTCTAGGCCTAATGATTGCACCAATAACATAATCTCTCCCTTTTTCAGTGATGCAGAAGAACCTGCACCGACATATGACAAGGTTTTTGATGTGTTCTGTGGAACTGTGTTGGCCCAGAGATCATCGATGGAAATGACTGATCTGCTGAAGTGCTTCATAGATATAGCAAGAACATCTGAAAACAAGGATGCTTCCAGATATAGGTGAGATTGTGAACTGTGGAGTTATAGAGAGGTTTGAAAACATCAGCTGAACAAATTGCATAGTCTGCTTTAGTTTTCGCCATTCTTTCCATTTCTTTAGGATACACACAAAATGTAGTTTGTTTTCAACAGTGAAAAACTCTAATCTCAAGTACAGAATTTGTCCTTGTCATTGATACAGTATTTATTTCATATCTCACAGGAATAAAAATTAAGCATTTCTTAATCAGTTACAGACCATAAACTTATATTTTATCACAACATGGGCCTACACCAGTCACAGTTTATGATGCTTTGCACTGGAGAATAGAGTTGCCAACAGTAACCATTTGCTCCCCATCCAAGCATGGGGATGGAGCTTTGACAGAAATATATGCACTTGGTGGGTGCATTACTGAAATTACACTATTTTCCTTTTCTCTCTCTGTTATGGCTCAAATCACTTCTGTACAGCACTAGCATTCATTATTTTATTTTCATTTTCAGAATGCTCTACCTTAAACGAAGACTGAAGGAGAAGTACCCACAGCTTCAAAGCGCCCAGCTAGCGAGTGTGTCTTCATTGACAAATCTGATGCTGCACCACCCATTGAACAGTTGTGGTCATCAAGTTCTGAATCAGATACTTCATCATTCAGTGAGATCATTTCACCAGTCAAGCAGACACAGACCTCTCATCTCCAGCCTCACCTCCACAAGTCGTACTTATCTGCAGCGACTGTGCGTGAGGAACTGAGGGCCTATAGTGGACTTGATATTGAGTGGTCACCCACACCGTCTGAGGTCGATGTAAGAGCTGCTGAGACAGTCGTCCCAGTCGTGCTGTACAGGGTTGTAGCCACGCCGGGCGGCGGCGGGCGGGGCCGCCCAGCTCTCAAAATCTCTGCCCAGCACTCAGGGTAATTTTGAGCCTGACCGCCCGGTACATATTTCAGTCCCCGAGTTGGTAGAATTTCTGAAACATCTAAAAAATTCAAATGTACTGTATGTCCATATCTTTAGCAATTAAACACAGCTGCATGTGTGTTTACTGCAGCGCGGCCCAGATTTCGGACACGTATTTTGTTCGGCCTATTTTCCGAATTTTTCCGCCATATGCCAGTTTCATCTCTGTAAGGGTACACAAATGTGCTTACAAAACCATCTTTAGATTTTTTCTTAATTCTGTTCATTCATCTAATACTGATTTAGAATAAAAAACAGATGACCTTGTATGAGTATGGAGGAATAATGAGACAAATGTTGTTTCATCCTGTGTTCATCTTTATTTAATGATAATTCCACATTTTACAAACGCGAATTACACTTTATAACATCATGCATCAAAAACCTGATTCCCCCCCCCCCCCAAAAAAATCCTGGAGCTGGGGGGGGGGGGGCTTGACCCCGCCGAGGCGTTGCCCCTTGACGCCTGGCTGTGACCCGCGAGAGCTCCTCTCGCTACGCTTCGCCAAAATATTACCCGGCACTAAAGTCTGCCTGGTGACAACCCTGGTGCTGTAAAATGTGATGGCATGGATGACAGGTTACTCAGAGGAACCAACACTTGAGAACTTTGTTTGTGTTCCTGAGGACATTCACCTGAAACTCCTGTCCATCCTACAAGACATTGTATACCTTCAGTCTAAGGGGAAAAACCAAAGTCTAAGTCCTACTGTTCCATAATATTTTAATTGCTTCATCTCCAAATTTAAAAGAATTTACTGATTTTACAAGGTTTACGCAGTACTTTTTTGACTGAAGAGAGGTGCACGTGGCAACATGTAAAGTAAATGGTAATATCCATTAACTGCAATAATCACCGATTCTATGTACTGTAGTAAATCCCACGATGGGGGACAACTTGGTGTTGTCAGCTTGCACTGAATCAATGGTGTGGGATGTGAATCCCGGATCAGGGAGCAGTAGGCCTTGTCCAAAAATATAACACGCCAACTCTTGGTTGTTAAACTTGCTGTCTCGGTTTTATTAAGGGAATAAATGTGTGCTCTGGAGGTTTTTATCACTCTGTTTAAGACCACTTAGAGTCTGGGTGCTGATAATTACCCGAGCCGGAGGCGAGGGTAATTATCAGCACCCAGACTCTAAGTGGTCTTAAACAGAGTGATAAATACCGACTGAGCACATATTTATTCCCATTCATAAATACCTAGTATAATATAATAAGACCACTTAGAGTCTGGGTGCTGATAATTACCCTCGCCTCCGGCTTGGGTAATTTTCAGCACCCAGACTCTAAGTGGTCTTAAACAGAGTGATAAAAACCTCCGGAGTACACATTTATTCCCTTAATAAAACAGGACCCTGGCTGTACTATGTGATCATGGAGGAATGTCTCTGAGCTAGCTGTCTAAGGAAACAATCCAATCACACAGCAATTACAATTAGGGCCTAAACAAATACATGAAATAAGTGCTTGAATAATCTTGCAGTTCAGTTGATTAAAACAATCAGTAAACTAGAGGTTCGCGTTTGTTGTTACAAACGCAGAGTGGTTGGGCAGGCAATCTGTTCATTAAACACTGCCGAGTTGAGTTATGAATATGTTTATGTAAGAACAAAGAATCAAGAAGTAAATCCTTTCCAGTTCAATCAATTATGTTGTTTCAAAAAATGCATCTTTAACGGTGTGATTAATTTTAGTAAACATTCTCTGTACTCATACAAGTTATTTCTGGCTTGATGATGTCATTATTCAAAAACGCGGGGAAGTGGATACCGATTTAGTTCGCAGTGGATAAATGTTCATTGTGAAGCTAAATATCGTAAGGAATTATGGAAAATATAATTGTATGTATTCGTAACACCTGACGTCCGGTTTGATGACGTCACAGTATTTGGAAGCAAAACGTGAACATTGTAAGGGGTATCGTTATTTGGGCTACGAAGATATATAATATGAATCAAATGATAGAATTAAATTTAAAATATTATCGTTTTCAAATTCTCATAGAAGTAACTTCTGTTCCGATGACGTCATGAATTTGGAGCCTTGCCAAAGTATCTGTGTTTAATCAAAGAATATCAACGGGCGATTTGGTAAAATTTGAGCCTATCATTTTCAAATTAAAAAAAGCAAACACTATTTTATGTGCCGCTAGGTGGCGCCCTTTCGAATGATGACGTCATCACACTGTTTTTTTTGCGTCTAACATTCCTCACTGAACACTTTCATAATTTATATACTATGTGTGTAGTAAAAAGCTCCCACTTTTGAGTTATATGACATTTTTATTGCACTTCCGGTAACACCGGAAGTGAAGGTCAAGCGGTTTTATGTGTGGGTACACGAAATGTTTCTCACGGCATAGTCTACAACATCTTGAAAAATGAACACGATACTCTATTTGGTTCAAAAGATATAGCGCAAACTATTTTGTCAAAATTTGCCCTTAATTCGCTTGTAATTTGATACTTGATGACGTCATGATAACGTAACAAAATTTATAACATTTTCGTACCATGGTACAAGTTCACACTATGTCTTATGATCATACCATAAACCATTCGGAAGAAATTTTGCCTTGTTTTGATTTCAAGCTAACTTCTTCATTTTGAATTCACCTAACTTTGACCTTCCGGTAGCCCCGGAAGGAAAGGTCAAGCGACTTTGACTTTAAATCAAAAATGTTTATCAAGGTATTGTCCATCAGATCACAAAATATGAACGTGATCGGTCATTTTGTTCATGAGTTATAATTGACGGAAAATTGTCATATTTTGACCAAAGATCGCTTATAATTTGACACCCGATTACGTCATCGTGATGTCAGAGTAATATGCACCACTTGGGATGAGGGTCGATATATATTGAAAGTTACAAGTTCATATCATATACCGTTTAGGAGAAAATCCGCGGAGAATTATTGTCCGGAAAAAAAAAAGAAGAAAAAAAGACCCAAACAAAGAAGATTTATGAGAACAATTCCAGAGAGAGAGTGATCGGGTTGTGCCCGACCACTCAACTACATGCAAATGCTGCGCAAATGGCCCACAACACAATGTTTGATGCGTAAAAACAGTAAAACATTTATAGGGCCGTACGCACTGGCCACACAGACGAGGTAAAAATGACGGAAATGGGTCAACTCGTACCCAAGTTAACTCGTACCCAAGTCAACTCGTACCCCAAAATTGACACCCAAGTCAAGTCGTACCCGAGTTAGGTCGTACCCGAGTCAAGTCGTACCCGAGTCAAGTCGTACCCGAGTTGACTTGTACCCGAGTCAACTCGTACCCGCAGCTCAAAATAGTTGCCTATTTTCGAAAAGAAAATCAGTGAAACGAACGGAAGATCGGAGGGATATGGCCGGTTGTCCGTGCACGGTGACATCGTTTGTATGAGGGGCCATCCATGTCTTTGAAGCACCCTCTTTATTCGTCAATAAAAGTGGTTGCGCGCAACCAAACAACCAATCATGATTCAAGAATAGCAGTGTAAGTTAAACTGGAGTACCTATTGAGGGCGCGCTGTGTCATGTGTGTTAGCGCTACCCGGGAAAAAATGGCCACTGTTCGCGGGATACAACATGATCATTCTCATTTTCTCGATCATTCAAAGACAAGATTTCGAAATATCTGTCGGATCGTAACAACAGGAGACGTTAGTCAGACACGGGTGGCTCAAGCAGTACAAAGGTTGGCAAAGAAGAGGATCCATTTTTGCAGCACACATGTTTAATTTTCATTGTGGGCTAGGCTCGACTTAGCCCCACTATAGCCCCATAAATGTGGCCTATTGACTGCCTCCGAAATATAGGCCACACATCCACATACATGGTACAAAAACGTATTGCACTTTGCCAAATTTTGATTTTTACATTTAGGCTTAGTTTGTAAGTTTTTTTTGCTTTAGAAGCATACTCACCCTCTTTATTAGACCTGTGAACGTGGCGTTGTATACAACGCCACGTTGTTGTGTATTTTAAAACCTAGCGAAATCGATCCGACATACATAATTCCGTATGGGTGTTGAGTACTCACCTAGAAATCTAAATTTGCCCGTCCGATTGTTTAGGCTGTGTAATTTCGACGAAATTTCGCCCATCAGTAAAGACCCATACGAATGTGTAGAAATTTCATTTTAACCCGACAAGTGACCCTGACAAATGACCCCGGATCGGACGAGTCGCTTGGACAGATTGACGGCTGTTTCATGTCGCAACCCCGAAAAAAAAAACCCGCACCCGATTGGCTGCTTGGCTCATCTCGTGTACGTGTGCGCGCGCACACGCACGTGGGCGCATGTGCACCCGCGTGCGGTGAGAGAGGAAAGGACTTGAAACTTGTCTAAAACGATGTCTCTTTTAGCTGCGACAGTAAACAGCCGTCGAATTATACGAAGGACGGTACAATAAAACGCAATGCGCATGCGTCACTTGGGAGAAAATGGCAGCTAGCAGGACTTCATAAACCGGGGCCAGAATTTTCCTCGAATTTCGTCAAATGCAAGTTTTGATGTACAAACAGATTTCAAGACAGCTTCATATGTGAGTACTTATTACATTTGCAAAATAACGTCCAGTGTGTGTAATGGAGGGAGTCAGAGGGACAATTTCGCCAGGTTCTGAAATACACAACAGCGTGGCGTAGTTTACAAACCACGTTCACGGGTCTACCTCTTTATAGGCTAATCAGAAAGTGCTGCCTTTTTCAAATGCTATTTTTCTTGAAATTTCCAGATTCATTTTCACACGTTTGCGTAGACACGCGTGAACGTGGCGTTGTATGAAAATATTCTGTCAAATGTAGCCGAAATTCGGCTAAAATGGTCACTCCATTTTAGTAACCACAGATAACAATAGAGTGTTTTTACTATAGACTGAAGCGTGGCTATGTATATAGCCACGTTCACGGGTCTTACGTTTGCGTATCAAAATTTCAACATGAAATTTCACAAAGATTAGCCATCTGAAAAAGGCAGCACTTTCTGATTAGCCTATAATAGTATAAAGAGGGTGAGTATGCTTCTAAAGTAAAGAAACTTACAAACTAAGCCTAAATGTAAAAATCAAAATTTGGCAAAGTGCGACATGTTTTTGTACATGTGGATGTGTGGCCTATGTTTACGGAGGCAGTCCAGTAAATAGGCCACATTTATGGGGCTAGCCCCACTAGTGTGGCCGCGGGGGTTCAGCGCAGCATACCACGGCCACACTAGTGGGGCTAGGCTCGACTTAACGGAATACCCTACTGGCATGACTGGGTCCGTGAGCACTAGTAGCAGCGCCATCTGGAGCAGTGGACAGGGTGGAACGTCCACTAGTAGCACAACTAACTGGAGCAGTAGACAGGGTGGAACGTCCACTAGTAGCACAACTAACTGGAGCAGTAGACAGGGTGGAACGTCCACTAGTAGCAGCGCCATCTGGAGCAGTGGACAGGGTGGAACGTCCACTAGTAGCAGCGCCATCTGGAGCAGTGGACAGGGTGGAACGTCCACTAGTAGCACAACTAACTGGAGCAGTAGACAGGGTGGCATGTCCACTAGTAGCAGCCCCATCTGGAGCAGTGGACAGGGTGGAACGTCCACTAGTAGCACAACTAACTGGAGCAGTAGACAGGGTGGAATGTCCACTAGTAGCACAACTAACTGGAGCAGTAGACAGGGTGGAATGTCCACTAGTAGCAGCGCCATCTGGAGCAGTGGACAGGGTGGAACGTCCACTAGTAGCACAACTAACTGGAGCAGTAGACAGGGTGGAACGTCCACTAGTAGCACAACTAACTGGACAACTAACTGGAGCAGTAGACAGAGTGGAACGTCCACTAGTAGCACAACTAACTGGAGCAGTAGACAGGGTGGAACGTCCACTAGTAGCAGCGCCATCTGGAGCAGTGGACAGGGTGGAACGTCCACTAGTAGCACAACTAACTGGAGCAGTAGACAGGGTGGAATGTCCACTAGTAGCACAACTAACTGGAGCAGTAGACAGGGTGGAATGTCCACTAGTAGCAGCGCCATCTGGAGCAGTGGACAGGGTGGAACGTCCACTAGTAGCAGGACCAACTGGAGCAGTAGACAGGGTGGAACGTCCACTAGTAGCAGGACCAACTGGAGCAGTGGACAGGGTGGAACTTCCACATTTCTTGGGCCGCTTTGTAACTTGCGGCGACAGCGAGGGCTGAGTGAACCAGGTATGAAGCGCTATTCATGTCATTGAAGCGCCCTCCTTATTCGTCAATAAAAGTGGTTGCGCTCAACCCAACAACCAATCATGATTCAAGAATAGCAGTTGCGCGTAAGTCAAACAGATGCATCATGGGGGCCAATAATGCTTAGCTGTGACCTTTGTACCTGTGCAAGTGATGCGATGAAAAACATACAAAAGGCATGAAAGGTACCGGCAATAATAATGACCGGCGCTATGCCTTTGTTCGTGACTGAGTGAGAGTATGGACATGGAGTAGAAAAATTGTTTTTTACCCCATGTTTGGTGAGAGATCTTTGTCCTAGCGTTGTGTGTGGAGGAAGAAAGTAAGTCGAACTAGAACTGCTGCATTTTGTTTGCGAATGCGAGTGACTCAAACTTAACCTGTTACAGTGTTAGGCCTATCTGGATCAGTCTTTATTCATCAGAACTCACAGTCACAATCACAATTCACATGCCAGCCAGAAGTAGGGCTGGCCTAGGCCTATAGCCTAATCAAATTTTAAAGAAATCAGTAGGCCTGAGTTGATTTTTTTGTGTTGATTTTTTAATTTGGAAGTGGCATAGGCTATAACGGGGAACGGGGTCGGTACTTCGCCCCATTTCCACTTGAATTTGGGTCATCTCGTACCCAGGTAAACTCGTACCCAACTAGACCCATGAACATGGCGTTGTATACAACGCCACGCTGTTTTGTATTTTCGAACCCAGGGAAAATCGATCCGCCATACATAATTTCGTATGGATGTTGAGTACTCACTTAGAAATCTAAATTTGACTGGCTGCATGTTCAGGATGTGTCATTTCGACAAAATTTGCCATCAATGACGACCCATACGAACATGTAGAAATTAGATTTTAAGCTGACAAGTGACCCTGACAAATGACCCTGGATGAGTACCCAGGGTCATTTGCGTTCAAAAATATCGGAGCCCTCCGAGCTACCCGTCTGCTTCATATGGCGCATATGATAGGCGGCGTCTGATTGGCCAATAATGAGACCATGTGATAAACGCAGCTAATAATTTGGAATCGCACTTATGATCCGGACATCAGGAGTGCCCGGAGCATCAGTGCGATACCACATTATCCGCAGCATTTTTTATCAAGTGGTAAATCACATGCATCAGGAGGAGGTTGCAGGACGTCAAGATCTTGCCAGATTTTTCCTCGAATTTCGTTTAAATGCCAGATTTGGCGTAAAAGCAGATTTCAACATGTTCAAGAAAGCTTGATATGTGAATACTTATCACACGGTAAGGCAATGTTCAGTCTTTGTCACAAAAGGACGATTTTGCTTGGTTCGAACATGTACAAGAGCGTGGCGTAGTTTACAAGCCACGTTCACGGGTCTAGTACCCCAACATGCCCAAGTTGTTAACTCGTACCCCGGTAAAGTGGCACCTAAGTTAACTCGTACCAAAGTTAACTCGTACCCCAGTTAACTCGTACCCAAGTCTACTCTCGCACAAGATAGCTCATCCCCCTATTGACTTATGAAGCAGTTGTAAAGATCGTGGCCGGCCGCTACAACAGTTGATTGTCCAGTTCTGCAATCAGACACAAGTCAGAAACAGTCCAAGGCTAATCAATAATTACTGTCAGCAGTGCATGCGCACGTTGGTTTGAAAAAACATGGAAAGAAATAACTTCAGTGATCGTTTAAACAAGAACAATTGCAACATCGCGCAGACGAACGTGTACGTGCTGCTGTTGTGAACCGCGGTCGGCAAAAAAAAACAGTCGCTGCCGATAGTCTCAATTTACGGCGGCTTTGTAAGTAAAATTGATTCTCTGCAAGATCTTCAAGTTAAGTACTTAAGAGAAGTACAGATCAAGTCAGCAATTTTGGAAAGATTTCCATATATGAAGTTCACTAATTTTCCTCTGTATTGACTAATAAGCCCCCAGATAGCAATTTCATGTCATCAAAGTCAATTTGAGCAGTGAGAAAATACAAGCATTTTCTTAAAAAACACTTAGAATTTTTCTGTCCAATCTCATAGGGTTTGTACAAATTTTTTCTGACAAATGGGAGATGAAATTGACACAGGTCGAAAGTTGTTCAACTCCTCAACATCCAGATTTTTCTTTTCAGCAGAGGTGAGACAAGTGCTTCTTTCAACTTAGCTGGGAACTCACCAGATTGCAGTGACCTATTAACAACTGACGTGATTGACGGTAGCACTTCAGGTAAGTATTGGCTGAAAACTCGCTGACACGAGTGGCTTATGCTGTTTTGGAATTGTGATTAGGCAAAGCTCTCAAAGGCTTTAAACATAGACAGCTGATTAACAAGTTTAAAAACCTGGCATGAATCACAAGCAGAGATTTGTACACAGTGGTATTCCGTCTTTGCTTTGTCCAGATTGCGCAATGATACTTAAGCCGCCTCCATAAGCCTCCTCTTTTCCCTTTTTGATGCATAAACAGAGGCCGTATACCACGGGGCTTTCGGACGTTATGAGATGTCACGGGTCTTGAGGGGGGTGTATTTGTCCAAAAGATGACAGAGGGTACTGTTGAAAGACTCAGCCATCTCATTTACAGCATGAGGGGGCGAGAGATGAAGACATCACCCGGTACAGCAGAGTGATCTGGCGGAAGGTCATGCACGACATGAACATTTGATACAGTATCAAGGGAATCACAGGTGATATACAGATCTAATACATGTCCAGCTCTGTGAGTCGAGTCATGAACGTGTTGTTTCAGACCGGCCGAAAACAAAAGATCAATCATTGTTTTGGCCCCCTTGCAATGAGGGTTGCCCATGTGGATATTAAAGCCACCGGTTATTAGCAAGTTGTCCGAGGCAAGCGCTGTTAGTTCAAGAAGGCTATAAAATTCATCAAAGAATTGTTTAGTTAGTGAAGCTGATCCATGTCTGTAAACAACAGACAGTCGAAGTGCATCTCGACAACCATTTGATATAGAGAGTTGCATGGATTGGATTGAGACAAATATGCGACATTTGTTTTTTACATAAAATTTGCTTGAAATTATTTACTGGTACCAAGAAAGCCTCCCTCGGCATATTTAAACTAGTCACTGAAAAAAATAACATTAAGTCCTTTGTATCTAAGTGTCTTGATTTCAATATTCACTACCGGTATATAATTCGTATCATAGCAGGTATTGTGATGAAAATGACAAAGGTAAAGCTTTGAACTGAAAAAAAATGGAGGCAGGAATCATACTGCCTCACAGAAAATCGACCCTTGAACCTCCAGGAAATTGCATCATGCTACTATACCTCATTCCTAGTTGAGCAATGTTCTACTGAAGCAGTACATCATGTGCCGCAAACTAATGACTAACTGGCAGTTGAAAATCAGATGGTTTTACACAAAGTCATTATGAAGCATGTACAGAGACAATTTCTTACAAAGAAAATTTACATTTTTTTCCATAATAAATATGCCATAATGAATCTTGAACCTTGAATATGCTTTCTATACACGAATGTCGCAAAGAGAGTGTGTAATTTGTTTTATCCACAAGAGTGCATGGTTGGTTGTATAGTACCAGTGAATGATCCTCTAAAATGAACATCGTGCTTATTGTTATGTTTACAGGTTGTCTGTCGGAGAAAGTTGTACAGACCCTGTTAGATGCAAGGATGCTTAACATATGAGGGAAGGGTATGGGAGAAACAGATATATAGACATGCTTCCACGAATATGCTAAGGTGCGTGTTTTGACATTTAATTCTGGTTACATTTTATTGTCTGTAATTGTGATGTTGGTGGAAAAGGGCTGTGATACAAAATTCTTTTGTCATTGCCCTTGTGAAGTGATGGTACGAGGTGGCGATGTAGCCAGCAGTTTTATCATAGGGTAAAGGGATTGGAGCCTAGATGTTATGTCTGGTAACTTTTTTTGAGATTATGCAGGAGATGTGCTAAATGATAGACAGGATTTTTTTCACCAGTCTATTTATGAGGCGTGGGGTTGATGCAGCAAGACAGGGCACGTCGAGGCAACAACTTTGGATGGCTTGTTTTTCTGATGTTTGCACAATTTTTAAGGTTAAAATGTTTTTTTTTAGTATCAAAGCAGTCCATAAAATATCCACGCAAAGTTCCCAGTAAGGGAAAGACTTGGGGCTGATGATTGTTTTGGTTTAATTTTTTTTTTTTTTTTGGGGGGGGGTGTATGGGAAGGAGTGGTTCCTGTTGACAACCTCCCCCCCCCCCCAACACCCACCTGTATCTGCACTCCACCCCCTGCAAATCCACGTACCTCCCACCTTTTTCACCCACCCACACCTTGCCACCCCAGCTCCTCCCACCCACCTACACCCCCTCTCTCTCTACCATTCTCCCCCTTCATCCACCTCCCTTTGCTACCTGCTGGTACAAAGGCATCTCTACTACATTTTCTTATTGAAACTGTTTTCATTCTTGTCATTTCAGTTACTGGATACCAAGATGGCAACCAACCACTACTACTCAAACAGATGCAACAAGGTCATTCGCACAAGCTGTTTTGCAAAACAAAACTATCATTATCGGGAAGAGGTCATTGATTGCCCCTTGTCTCCTGCTACAATTATTGACATCCCATCACACTTCTATGTATGTCAGGTTAAATGCGTAATGTGAGTATTGCCCCTTTAATTCATTTAACTTTAATTAATTACATACCAATTGGCTAAAAACTAAGATGCAACTGATAAATTTTGTTTTGTGCAGAATTCTCTTACTTTCCTGGTAGATTTAATACAACTCAATAACAAAGATACAATTTATGTATGCTTGTACTTCAGTGAAGGCATTGCTAAAATTTCAATGCAGTTAGCTTTGACGATGAAATATTTTATCTAATAAATGTCACGTCTGTGTCTTGCTTACTGCCAGGTTTTAAATTGTGCAGTGTGTCAGTGAATGGCAGTAAAGTTCTCTATTTGAACAAATTCTGTTAGTACTCAACTAATTTTCTTATGAGCTGCTTAATATGGTAGACTTGTACAGAAGGATCCAGAAGTGTGGTAATGAGATACAATCATATTTGGATGGAATATTCGGTTGAGCAAGTCAGTGGTTTGTTGATCTGAGTCAGGTAAACGGCTGCCCCTCCATTCATTAATCAGTTTAACTGGAAAAAATACTTCCACAGTTTTTGTATTCAATACTCTGATTTTTTTTTGAGTTGCTTCGGGCCTCAAGTGTAAGAAGTTAAGTTTTTACTGCTACAGCTTAGTCACTTCCCCTCCTCTCTTCTCACTTCATCACCTAATCGCCCATTCATTATGAACATATTACATGTAGATATTGTGTGGTGGTTTTGTATCCCATGGTTACTCTTGCAGGTGTTAAGCATGTCATTTTGGATACATCAACCGACATGAATGAGGCTGCTCAAAAAGGTTAAGAGAATCCATGGAGAAATCAGGACTCATAACCAGACATAGGATGGAGGATTAGCAGGTATTGGTTTCCAAGAGGGATGAGTATACCCCATTTTTTTCTAAAAGAATTAATTTCAGGTCGAAATAAATAAGCAAAAATTATACAATACCATTTGATTGAGACCGATCCCATTGGACATATCCAATATGCTTCTTGTATCCAGATGTGAATAATAAATAAGGGTTAAGGTTTTCAATTTAAAAACTTGATGCCCTATTGAAAAGTGTATGGATACCTGGGTAAGGCTACCTGTTGAAAGAACCCTAAATCAAAATTGAAACCTTGGTAGTTTCTGTTTAGATTGTCTGCATGACATTCCCCACTATTACCACCTGTTCATCAGTTTGCAAACTACATGTACAGTGAGCTGTTTATACAACTTAAAGCTTCGTGAATTTGAAATTGTTTTTCATTTTAAAAATCAACATCATTGACATTTGAAACTATTCTTGTTTTTGTTCTTGCTTGTTCTTAATCACAGTTTTTGGTTTCGCTGTCAACCCTCTAAACCTAGTTTAGCCCTTATACATGTAACAGGAAAAAAAATTGGCTAAGTAAAGCTGCCTTACAATAGAAGTATTTCAAATGTTTATAACAACTGTTTGCTTCCTAGCTTGCACCAGGTTTTTTAGTCTGTTTAAGGCTTAACACAAAATCTCTGCGTGAACTGTTACCAAAAATTCCCCAGCGGAATAATGAAATTTCTCGGTTAACACTGTAGAATACCGCGGCCTGCAACTGCATTCTGATGAGGATTAATGACTGCAGCTAAACCTGATGCCTACTCCCAGGGGTTAGCTATCTTCTTGTGATTTTTGGCTTTGAAAGACTGGTTCTCATCCTCAGCAGGCAAGACTCTAGCAGAAAGCCAAAGAGATGCAACCGATGGAGCTAGAACAGATACTGCAACAGGAGGCTGTCACCAGTCCTAATGACAAGGGAGATGCTGGTGCAGCGTTCCATTCTGTACAGGCTCTCATTGCTTATCTTGGGGCAGATCTTATGTAGGCAACTTTTACAGACTTCAATTTTTACTACATGTACTTCTGAACACTATGAGCACCACAAAGCACTGAGTTTACATTATTGTAAAAGCGCCTGGTCATGAGACTCTTCGGCGTGAACTGTCAGATGGGGCAAAGTCTGCTGACTGCACCTCTTGCATTATTTAGGCTTGCCTTGATTCCTTTCTGAGCATTACCATTATTCACTGTTAATGAAGGTACCAAGGCCAGGCGCGGTTCTAGAACCAATATTTTTGGGGGGCTAGCACGGTGGATCCAGAATTTTTTCAGGGAGGCGTGCTGAAATGTTGACCGGTTATTTTTTCCAGACACTAAGGCCTCCGAAAATCAATTGGGGGGGGGGGGGGGGGGGGGGGGGGGGGGGGGCTCATGCCATATTTTCAATAAAATCCTAAAATCATTCACACTATATTAACTAATGCACCCTTGTCACGGCTATTTCTTCTTTAGGGGGAGACCGTTCACATGTACATCACAATCCTTCTTTTGGCTAATGCAATTTTTTTTTTTACGGAATTTATTTTGGGGGGCTACAGCCCCCCCCCCCCCCCCCCCCCCCCCCCCCCCCCCCCCCCCCCCCCCCCGTAGAACCGCGCCTGACCAAGGCATGAAAGTGAAGTCATCAACACATCCAGTGCCTCACTATTGATGGTTTTTACTTGACCTGTCGTGGTAGAATCTCCTTAAAATAAATTTACGTGGCTTTTAAAATATTGTCCAATAACAGATGCAGAAAGTACAAAATCCGAGACTAACAACATTAAGTGTACAAAAATTCCATAGGGTTGTATAAGGGGTGTGGCTAACTAGCAAACGGCAATAGGCCAGTTGGAAGTGTTGGTGGTGTATTAATGCACCTGACATTTGTATTACGCTATTGTAAACACACTGAATCTGTTTCCTGGATTAGGGTACGCTTCGAGAACAAATAGAAAACAAGATCATCAACAAAGACAATTAATTCCTGGTGGAGAACAAGACCCCTTTGATTCCTGTGGGACGGTCAGATGCTGTTTGACACATATCACAGTCGATTGTAATAAGGAAGTGAATGTTTTGAAGAATAAAACCCTGTTGGACACTACATTTTACTTGGACGGACTCTGTAAACTTACAATTTGATGGCTAAATCATATTTCGCCTTTTTGGTTGTTATTGTTTAATTTATGTTAATTTAAACTATGACTCGCTTCATCAGATAACAGCATTTAAAATGGGTTAGTTTATGTTTCGTCGATATTTATCAATATTATACTCATAATGCTTGCATTTTCAACAGTTATTGTATGCACTTAAATTGCTGACCTGGATCAGTATTGAATTTGAATGATAACACTGAAACAAAATCTGAATTATGAGGACTAACAATAATATTTATTCGGAATTTCACTTCATGGACGGCACTTTTATTTGCAACTTGAAAGACAACATAAAATTAATAAGGATTAATCTTTCACGGGTATATGAAATAAATTATGTGCAACGTTTCAAGTTGTTGGTACATATGTGATACAGTCATCTCTCATTTCCACAAGTCTCTTTTTTATTAAAGGAATAAATGTGTGTTTTGGAGTTTCTAAATTGTCTGTTTAATACATGAACATGTTTAAGTCTTGATGCTGATAACTACCCAAGCCAGATAACTACCCAAGCCAGAGGCCAGACTTCAGCTGTTTTAAACACTGTTTTTATATACCAAGTACACCTTAATTCCCATTCATAAATACCTTTAAAAGTAGAAAATCAAAACGTGTTTGTGTAATGTGTTCCTTCAACAAAAGGGCCTATAGCTGATAAACAACTCCTATTGTACCACGGTAATGGATCCTGTGTTTTTATTGGTCGAGAACCAATCATGTAGCGGGCCACAAAAATTCATGTTCACCAGCGCGCCTAGTACATGTACATCAGTAATGTCACCTGGCTGTACTCGCGTATAGAGCACGCTTGTACTAAATGCGGGCGTATACGCTTTGATCAGCTGTAATTGGTGGTTAGGGCTGAATGGACTAGTCTATTCTGAAATAAATTTCAAAAACTTCTGTGCGATTTTTCACGGTGCAGAAGTTGTCCTCCTTATTGAATACTTCTGCGAGAAATTGAAGGAAACCCTCAATTTCAGATGATTGGAATCTATTGCCGTGGTATAAAAAAAAATTGTTGCTTGTCGTGATTGGGGCCCGTGTGTTTTGAACACTCTTGGGGAAATATGGCACCCGAGGCGAATTGCCCTCTCCGGTGTGCATAACACAATGGACCCCTTCGCAACACATGTGGCGCAGCGTCATGCGACAGGCAGGTGTACCAGTGTGATGGGAATTGAGGACAAGGAAGTACTGCCTCGCATAGTATAGTATTGTGCATGCTTATGTGACGACTTTGCGCATTAAACAATGAAAATGTGCTTGCGCTGGAAAGGGAATTCTAGGAATTCAAAATTACATGTGCCGCTGGAAACTTTGTTTAAAACCAACCAAGACTTTTATCTCTTAACTGATTTATAATACTGTTACAAGCAATCAAATTTTAAAAATTTGAGCCTTTCATCAAGTTAAGAGGAATCTCTAAAAAAAAAAAAAAGCTTCCAAATGGAAGTCGGGACAAGGACACTTCCCTCAGTCCTCAATAGATCCTCCAACAACCACCAAGTGCACCTCAATATTGAGGAGTTCTTTTGTGAAATTTTAAATATGAATACAAGTATTAAGGAAAAGGCTTGATCTTCCCATGTGAGTGACTCATGATAAACAGCTGAAACCAGTTTGAAATCCTTAAAAACACTGAACTCTGCAAATCACTTGGCTTTGTACATAGAAATTGAGGATACAAGCTGAAGTCTAACACACGTTTTAATTTGTTAAAAAGCTGAAATTTCATACCAACCCCTTTTGTATGCATGGGGGTATTGCAAGGAGAAAGAGTCCAGTAAACTAACCCAACACACAATATTTAAATTTCTGTATCCTAGGTGAAGCATTTCATCTGATCATGAAACGATCATATGACTTGAAATGCATATAAAACAGTCTCCAATTACCTATGGACACGTAACATTAGTACACCAACTAATAAGGTCTCATAGAAACGGGACCTACTGAACGTCTGACATTAACAAGCTGATGGAAGGCTTGTTTTGAATAAAAATTGTCTAGAACAACTGAATTACTTTCACAATTATGTACTACGTAAGCCTGAAAAATGCAGTACTCTTGTGGAAATAGTTTTGTACAAAAACATTTTCTTAAACAAATTTCAGCAAATTTTATGTAACTGTGGTTACACGTAACAGGATGCATGAATATATAAAACAAGATAATTATTGCTGAATATCCTTTAACAAAAATCAATCCATCCAAATATTCTCTCAATAGGCTTCAAACTTGCTACAGTCTAGGAGCCCTAGTGAAGAATCTGCAACACGAATTATGCTTACGATGATGTAATAAAGGGGTATGTGATGTCATTATAAGATTTGTACTTTAAGCCCTTATATCTGATATGTGAAACCTGAGATAACATCATAATCGTGTCATTACATGTAAGTGATCTTATACCAAATAAGTGATTTTTGTTTATATTTTGAGGGGTCTGCCAATCCTCACCAGAAGAATAATTATGCTATTTATATTATTTTGGACGTAGCCTTTCTTATGCATTATGTGTATGCATTAACCCTAACAGTCCTGTGTCCTCCAATTTTCACACAATTTTTCACACACCCTTTGGAGCTAGGGTTAACTTTTGAAGGAAGTGTGACATGTTACTATCTCAAATGTTATTAAACAAAAGTATCGTTTGATAATCATAAAATTGTAGGTACGTTATTTGAAATTAGTTAAGCTAGCAAATATTGCAGAAGGATGCAAAAAAAAAACAAATCTGTTGCAGACAGACAGAAGTCCATTTCTTCATTTCTTTTTCCATAATGGTCTGCTACCAAGAGTGGAATAGGATTTTGTTTTTCAGGAAGCTTATTTTTGCAAGGACTAGTTACAAGTGCATGCTGGCATTCACATTATGCAGTAGGTGAAATAAACAATATTACTATACCTCATAAATATTCATCATGTAGCCGCGGCATTCCATTGGTCCATTCCAGCAACTGAACCGTGTGACAGTTTTACTCTTTCCCCGCGTTTTCGTATGCCCGCATGATGCGCAAAAATCAGGGAGGTATTATCTACACCCCTTGGTCAACGCACGCGCTTCCGTGCGGCAAACGTGTACATACATGCTGTCCAACGGTGTTTGTTGTTTTGACCGAGGAAGAACTGGTGGAAATCAAAAAGACCCTAAAATATTTATGAGGTATAGTAAAACAAATAGAACATGGTTTTGCATGGAAATAGTGAAAATTATAATACATCTCTCCTGGTTTTTTATTCTGGTTGGCTGAGATATACTAGCTCTCACGTGTGGTTCACCTAATATAGGCTAGTACATGAAACTGAGTCAGCGGGAATTGGACATGAGCCAAGGCATCACGCGCACGTAAATTCCAGAGACTTGTGCCCGGTCGTGTACTAGTCTTAAAAATTTTGACTGGTTGCAGCGCCCTCACAGTATGTGTTCCTAAAAACCTGCATAAGGATCATGGAAAACCAAAAGGGTTTTTTAATGTAGAATTGCTTTTGAGTTAATGACTGAATGCAAGTTCAATACATGTACGTCAAAATCAAGACTGTTCATAATAAACTCGTGAAGCATTTGAGGAAGCTAACAGGGATGGTTTTCAATTTTGAGTGGTTCTCAAGTTTGAGTTGTGATGATGGACTGGCTAAATTTGGCCACTAGTGCATGCCCCCTCTGACCTGTGAGTGACCAGAAGAGGGTCCTATATCCATCAGCCTTCAGCCTAGGGGGGAAAAGGACCCTCATCTGGTCACTCACAGTCCCTCGGGGGCATAGATGTGCACTATATAGTGACCTCATAGCCAGTCCATATGTGTATACTATGAACTCGGTGTTGGATTAAGCCGAGGGAGATAGTCCTAATCATCCAACACCCCGGGTCATTAGTTTTCACTATTTCCCGACAAACCACGTTCTATTTGTATAATATCACATCCTATAAATTGTGACCGTTAACTGTTTCCTTGACCAACTTACTGATAGCAACTTACTGAGAGCAATTGCAAAAATGTTGCTTTATGCATCTGTGAACAGGTCGCTACAAATGCTGACTGTATTGGTCAGCACTTTCAGCAACTCCAGTGTTGTCCTGTGTCCCGTAGGCAACGTCAAAACGTGAAAGCAGGCGCACACCTTTGGGAAGTCCCTAGTGTGATCTCCATTGGGTACATCTTCAGGATGCCTGAACTTGATAGAGGGTGGCGCCTTAAATCCAAGTGGGGGAAGAGTCTTTTTCCCCGTCAAAAATTGAAGAAACTGTCCTAGCTGTCCGATTTCTGGAAGATCAGAGGAATGTATTACATAACATTAAAAACTAATGTTACTGCACAAAAATGCTAATTGCCCTAATGAAATGTATACATGCATTCATCAATTGCTTTCCTAATATTTACAAGCAAGTTCAATTTTTGGATAAGTTCACGTATCTGCTACTTGGTATACATTTCGAATCGAGACAGTATTGAGTTACATACTGCCTTCCGTTTTATTAATTAGAAGCCCCACACACATGCCTGTATGTATTGTCAATGTTAAATGATTTTTAAATTGATTATATAGCCAACCTCAACATACCCATCAATTTAAAAGTTATTGGTCACATAATTATTTCTCTCTGCCAATGGAGTTTACTCAAAATGTGATGTTGGTGACATTTTTACTCATTTACATGCATATCACCACCTACAGATTTGAAGGTACAGTACTTTTGGTTCAACGCCAATTAAGGGTCACAATTTTTTTTATCAATTGTGACATTAAGATTCACTCAAACTTGAGGAACTTATGTTTTTCTAACATTTGAAATATCAAAGTGTAATTATAACACGAGAAGCAATGACATCAGCATTAGGTCATTACATAAAAGTGGCCCTTTCCCGTCAATCCCTTATCACGTAAAGATAACCTGCAATACTCCAATGGCCCTTGCAATTACATCACTATTGTTCATTTGAGAGTTTTAATAGTCCCCAATACGCCCTTCTTAATATTTATGCTGACCCCATATTTTAAGGGCCAAAGTGAGGTTCTTGGCGGAAGGCTTTAATTTACACATCACCATTCTGCTACATGAGTTTACCATCAGACGTGACGGGTTTTGCGTGCGTCAAAAGGACTGTGTGGTCAAGACCGGAAACGAGGACCCTGTCCAAAGCATATTTTTAATCAGTTTTGAATAATAAATGACCAAAAATATAACGTAATTACCATCACATTTATCACACCGTGTCATCTTGCGGTACGACACGGTCAGCGTGCCATGTGGGCCATGCACGGTGGTAGCTGTTCGCCGCTGCTTTCAGCCTGAACTACACGTCAATTGCGGGCCACATTTTCTTCGATTTAGAACTGCACACAACTGGGGACCGATGTTGGGATTTAACTGCACACAAAATATGACATTTGCTTACCCCTCCCCACACCACCATCACCATACCAACATCGAAACTGTGCATTTACAAAACCCTGCAATTGTGCAAATTTTGTTTTTTTAATGATTTATTTTGTTTCATATAGTTGTACCAGCAACTTTGATCAGCAAAACATGCAATGATGATTTTGGTTTAAGTAATGTTTAACACTGATACTATCATCCTGTCTGGGGGTTAATGGTTTCAATATTTTCAATTTTAATGGACACAGTAAATTATACATAAAAGAGATAGATTACATGCATTTGTAACTGAAAAATATATGAATCCATTTCCTCTATTCAAATGAAACTCAAGGCACCAAACTAGTTTTTACTGACAGGAGTGATAAATTATTGTCTGCTGCCAACAAGCATCTAAAATACTATACGTATTTTTCTTATTCCAGAAGTGTACATGTTTATCGGATCATGATCTTGATTGGCCATGGCTGGTTAATTTCAAGCCAACTCGACCCTTCACCAACTCGGTCTTAGTCAATCAGTTCTGAGTCAGCTCGGTACCCTGTCTCGCTTATGTCAACTGGGTCTCAAGTCAACTCGGTCTAACCGGGTTCTAAATCAACTCGAACTGAATTTGGACCACTGACAGACCTGCCAACCTGTGAGATAACAAAACTGTATTCTGAAACTCAAAAACCTGTATTTTTCCTTAAAAACCTGTATTATTTTGTTTTAATGCACAAACGAGCTTACAAAGGTTTAATGTTGCTGCAATTGCTCCAACTTTAATACTTACAGGTGTACATCAAAGTTTTCGCGTGTTAGACATGACAGTTGCCTTCTTGCACTTCAGGAGTAGGTTGTTTTTCAGCACACGGCTATGGCAAGGAATCCCTGCTGCTTGCCAGTAGATCTTGCTAGTTAAAGAGTCTGAGAGAACTGAAGTACTCAAACTTGATCGGAACTCTGTTGCATTTTTCCTGACGATGCTAAAAATTCTTTCATCTTCTGCATTTCTATGCGAAATGGAAAGGATCATGAGCATCAGCTGTGGGAGGTGTTGATACTTCAGTTGACTGCTTGCTTTGTCTTTCATGTGAGAGATATCAAACCAAGTGTCATCTGCCCTTTTCTCCAACAATGAATCCAGTTCATCATCAACCTGGTAGTTTGCAAATTCCACCTCTAACTGATCCAATTTATCCTCCATGAAATGGAATCTCTTCACAAAATATGAAACAGAAGAGAAACTCTCTTCAAGTCGCTTGTTTACATTAGCCACTCCTGCATGTTCCAGCAGTTCATCACTCAAGGGGAATGTACTGATGACGTAATCACATACTGCAGTGAAGTACTTCCTGACAGTTTGTAGAACTCCTCCAGTTGACTTGAAGAGAACTTAGGACTACTTATGAAGTCTCTGACTTCTTGTCCCAACATTAAGTCTGCATCTGGCCTTTGGTTAGTTGGATCCTTGTACTGGCACTCTTTCAGGTCTGGGGAAGTTTTGATGATGACTGGCTTCACAAATCTCAGCATAATGTTTTTAAGAAAACCATTTAATTTGTCATGTAGCACATGTACCATCGGTTCATCTTTTTGAAGTTCCAAGTTAAGGTGGGTGAATAGTGGTATTGTCTGTTTCAAAAACAAACAGTACAGTTTGTTGTAGTCATCTGCTAGTGTTGCGTGAATTTCTTCAGCCTTTGCAGCTGCTTTCATGGCTGGCTTTGGTTTTGAGGCCGATTTACTGGTTGGTTTTGATTTTGAGGTTGATGTAGTGCTTGGCTTTAATGTCTACTTAGGGTGAACTGCTTTCTTGCCTCGGACTTGAACTTTACTTTTCTGCCTGGCAGCAATCGCACCAACATGACCAGGCCCACTGCTTTTGGATGATGAACCTTTCTTCGCAGATGCTGCAGCACTACCCTTGGAAGCCAGATTTGCGGTAGTTTTCTTCTTGTGTATGCACCTATTGCCCTAGCAAATCCACTGCAGCTCTTTGAAGTGTGAACTCCAGTAGTTGTTCTTCCAGTGGATGTTCCTGCTGGACTGCTTTCACTGTCTTTGGTTCGACTTGAAGTGTGAACTCCAGTAGATGTTCCTGCTGGACTGCTTTCACTGTCTTTGGTTTGACTTGAAGTGTGAACTCCAGTAGATGTTCCTGCTGGACTGCTTTCACTGTCTTTGGTTTGACTTGAAGTGTGAACTCCAGTAGTTGTTCTTCCAGTGGATGTTCCTGCTGCACTGCTTTCACTGTCTTTGGTTTGGTTTGATTTCTGTTTCTTTGGTTGATTTGAACTCTCTTCATTCTTTCTTTTCTCTGACCCATGACCAGCTTCCCGCTTGAAGTATTCCAGTAATGCTGGCCACTGTTCTAACAATCGGTTCAAGGCTTTTTCAAGGGACAGCCATCGTGTGCATACATGTTTTAGTATCTTGTGATTTGCTGTGCCACACAGGGTCTGCACTCCTTTCAATTCTTTGTGGCGCTTGGATGACTTCTCCAGGTAGTAGAACACTGCGATCAGTACATCAACGGGAGTGAATGGCAGTGTGGATGCTCCCTTTTCTGCTGCTAGATGTAGACGGTGACAGGGACACCCGAGAACAAAAACATCTGGATTCTGCTTCCTGACATATGTTGCTACACCCGCGTGAATGCCCATCATGACTGATGCGTTGTCTGCAGAGAAGCAGATGCAATTCTCCCAAGGGATTCTCTTTTCTTTCAAGGCATTATCAAGCAGTTCAAAGATATTTGCACCTGTTGACCTTTTTTCTGTTGTAGCTATCTCAAGTAACACACCCACAACTCTGTTCACGTTTTCATCAAAGTACCGAACAACGATTGGATACAGCTGTTCTTCAGCACCCCTATCCGAGCTGCCTTCAGTAGACAAGGAGAAACGTGTTTGTCTCAGTCTATGTGTGATATCATCTGAAAAGAAAGTAAAACAGAAGGGACAAAACATTAACTATGGTTGAATTGTGCTGGGCATTTGACGATAGGGATCACTTTTTAAAAAAAAGTAAAGTAGTTCTTTGATTTACTGCCAGTGTAACTCCTTTTCCACATGGTGTGAGGATTTTAGAAATACCTACTTTAAAAAAATTGAGCAGAGCTTTGCTGTATTCAGGGACTTTAAAAAAAAGGGCCCGCTGAAACTAAGTCATAAGGTAATAGGTAATAGCCTAGGTAACATAAAAAAATAATTTTCAAATTCAATTCAAGACCTTTCTCAGTTAGTTGGATTACAGATTTGGTTCCCGGGGTCGGGCGGTGAGAGGGAATTTATAAATTAAAAAAAAAAATCAACGCCCTTTACAGCGCGCCCGTAATAGTGCGCCCAGTTTTCGGACACAGTATTCGTGTTCGAACAAAACGTCGTCATTCAGTTTCACTGCACGAGTTTATCACATTAAAAGTACATAAATAATGAAGGAGAAAGTCTGCAGACTAAGCAAACTGTCATTATTTATCTTGTTCCAAACTATGTTTGCTTAAAAAAAAAGTCGTCGCTTCAATACCTGTCATCGAAAAGTACGCGAGCATTAAGCTGTCGATGCATACTCCGATACGGTCGCATGGTCGGTGCAGCTGGTACCCGGCCCGTTAGGCCCAAGATATATTTGCTGACAGGAACCAGTGCACAAACGTAAAACACGTTGCTGCGAGCATGCTACATCCTGATAAATAAGGGCGCCAGCGTGGTGGGGCGGCCGTACTCAATCAACAATCAGGGCATGTGGAAATGTACGGACTACGGTGATTTCTTTCTCTATTTTTTCCACTAGACGCCAGGATTCCAGTTTAAAAGTGAATCAAAAGCTTGTGGTTACTAGGGAGGCATTTTTTGAGGAATTCTTTTTGGGGGGCGTCGATTTTTCAAAATTATTTCCCCCGACGTTATATGCCCCTTAACGTTACAACTTATTTTAAAAATGCCCTAATCCACCTAAAACTGTATGGCGAGTAAACTTCAGTAAAAACTCACAAAACCATTCTGATTAATAATAATAATATTAGGCCTACTAAACGAAAATGACTAACTCACCTTTTGTCTGTTGTCCCAAAGTCCGAGCAATGGCAGTAGTTTTCGTACGACGACAAGAAAATTTTGAGGCAATCTTGCTGTCAGGAAACATCTGCTTTACCACGTCCGTGAATTCATCAGAAGAGACGAACGGCATGTTATGTTCGATAACATACTCAGTCCATAAAGTTTCCGCTCTAATCAGATCATAGTCTTTATTAGATGGCATAAATTGTCTAATAGAGCGATTAGCACTCTTAGTCTCGGCAATATTTCGGTGCTTGGTCGTTTCAATGTGCTGGGTAATATCATATGATCCACTATGACCGATGCTAAAATCGGAAATACACAACGTACACCGTGCGTAATTCTCTCCTCTCTGGGACGGCTGGATGAAATCCCATTTCTCGGTGTACTCTTTTTTGTACAGTTGCTTCCTTTTAATATCTTTTTTGGAGGTCGAAGCCATATTTATTTCACGCCAGTGCTGCTTTCGAATTCCACGCTCAATTATCCTCAGCTAGCTAGTTGCACATGGTATGCGCACTATATGCCTAGCGCTTTTGTATGCAACGATCTGATTGGTTAATACGCCCGGTCCATGCGTTTGTTTACATCCCATGCACCAATCACAGACACCCTAGCTTACTTGATCGCGATGTCAAGCCTCGTGTCTCAACGTAGTCTACGTTCGCAGCCGTTTGTTTCTTCTTGCGCACTCTTCACTCGCAGCCGAACTAGGATTTTTTTTTGGCGTGTCAAAATGGTCAAAACCCGTATTTTATGGAGAAAAAAGGTACGGCCGTATTTTCAATAAATTCCCGTATTAAATACGGCAAAACCGTACTGGTTGGCAGGTCTGCACTGACTTTGTCCCCAGGACAAGTTTGTTTAAGACGAGTTAACCTGCACACAGGGCCATGATTTTGCATGTTGTGCGTTAAGTCTAATCCCAACATCAGTCCACAATTGTGTGCAGTGTTAATCGAAGTAAACGTGGCCCGTGATTGACGCGTAGTTTAGGCTGAAAGCAGCAGCGAACTGCTATCGTGGTATCGTATGACGACGCCGTGAGAATCATGTGATCAACATGACGGTAATTACGTTAAAATTTTGGCCTTTTAATTTCGTTAAAATTTTGGCCGTTTATTATTCAAAACTGATTATTAATGCTTTGTCCCTTCAAAAACATGCTATGGACATGGACCTTCGTTTCCGATCTTAATGCACGCAAAATCACGTCTGATGGTAAACCCATGGAGCAGAACAGTGCAGTGTAAAAACCTACTGCCTAGAGCCTTGCTTTGGCCCTTAAAATATGACTTCAGCATAAATATTATGTCGGACGTATCTAAAAACCTGCAATTTCAAACTGAAAAATTACCTTCTAAGTCATGGAGGTACATCTCCAAGACAGTCATGACTTTTTCCTCCTTCTTCCTCCTCTGAATGTCAGAGGAAAAGTGAACATCCATCAACGCCAGCAGACATGATGCGTCCAGTGAAGTGGGTGTGTAAACTAGGGCATCTGCCATCCTCTTAGGATTGGCCATGATGTCTTCTAATATCAGCGCCCACTGCAGTCCTTTCCTCATCCTGAGAGAGAAAAGGTTATCATTATTGGGTTGAAAAGTTATCAACATGTCCACAGCAGCCCAGGGAGCAATACTTTTCGAGCCTGCTTTCAAGTCCTAACAACATTTTCTAAAGTGGATGCCTGCACATGAAATGTTAACATTGAGGGCTTGTCAATGTATGCTTCACATAACGATTGGGTAGTCAATTCATTTATGTTTCCAAAACTAGAATTTTCAATCCAAGTCCAATTTTTTTGGGTAAAAGTCAGGAAGTTGTTATGTAAGCATGAACCTTTGAATAGACATTGAAATTTATCAGAGAAACTGATTTAAAAGTTAAGCCAACAAAAAGTTGCCATTACAAGACCATGGCAACTATTTCAAAAAGGTGGTGTGTGGGGGGGGGGGGGGGTTACAAGTAAACGTTCTCACATTTAAAAGAAAAACCTATTACATTTGTATATAGAGCTACTTAAGGAATAATGTGACTGGCCCGCTGCTGTTTTGACTAGCATTTGGCTAGCAGGTTAGTACTAATTTCACGCCCGATCATAAATGACTGAAACTTCTACAGACAATGATCCTATTGAGACCAAAAAGTCCCATGGTGGAGCCATGTCAAAAGCGCCCCTTCTAGATCCTTGGGGGGGGAGCAGGTGTGTTGAGAAAAAACGGGAAGGGTGATTACACCCCTTTCCTCTTCATATAGCCACTGATCTATGAATGGTGCTTATCCCTGTGCTCCACCTCTGGACTTTTTGGTCTCATTATAACAATGGCTGAAGAAATTTTTATCCACTTGTGAATTGAAGGGACACTTTTTTTTCCCACTAATTACCCTCAGGTAAAGGGACTAGATTGTCAGGTTTGCACTTGTTTATGAACATTGTTACATAAAGCAAATAGTAATTTAATGGAAAATGTGGAAGTTTTGAGAGCTATAGTTGAAAATAGTCGAGGTGATTTAAATTATTGTATGCGAACAACCGCTGGAAAACTCATATTTGCAGGCTTAATGGATTTTTGATGTCATTGTTTCAGTTCATTTCTAATGTCAGCTGTGGCTGTTCCCTTTAGTATGATGATGTATCTGGTGGATGAAGGGGACATCATATGCATACACAGTGAATTATCATGGGGTACTCACTGTTCAAATGCACGATGCTTTGAATCAACAACAAAGAAATGAGTCAGATGCTTTTCTAGCAGCTGCTTGTTCAGTGTGCAAGAGCCACAACCTGCCAATGTCAGCAACATGCTGTGCTCTTCTATGACATGCAACAACTGCTGCTTTGTATTGGCCTGATTGATCTGAAATTGAAACAAACCATTCAAGTTTTTAAGTGCTTCAGTCAAAATAGCTTATCATTGTCTCTAATTTTTGGTCCATTTCACTATACATGTCTTTGAAAAAAAGCAGTCAGATTAATGTGCAACAGACAGATCGGCCAGATTAACCTTAAACAGAACTTGATGCTTATTTATTTGGGGGGGGGGGGGCTCGGGTGGGGTTGGGGTACCATTAGATTGTATTGTTTTAGGTTTTTCTTCTTTTTTTTCTTTTCTTTCTCTATTAGGAGACTGAGGGATTCCAACAATGATATGAGGTTACCATCTCACGCCTCATGTTGGAATCCAACTGATAACTTTGCAACATCATTGGAATCCTTCATTCTCCTGACGACAGCCAGAGCATATAGTTCTAAGGCCAAAAAAAAGAATAGTTCTGCTTCCGATTACATGCCTTTCAAAAATAGGGTCGGTCGGTCGGAATTTTTTTTTTTTGCCAATTTTTTTTATGCAGATTGAATGGGGTATTCAATTATATGCGAAGTTTTAGCCTGAACTATTTCCATTGCACTACGAAAGCTATACACAAAATGGCCACAAAAAGTGAATAAAACCTACCTTAATTATTGTCAATATATTTACGTTCGATAATTCATAAAAAAATTTGTGGAAAATTTAGGTCGTTCGCACCATATGCACAACGCTAGTCAAGAAGGGGAGCTGGCCAAAACTCCGAAGTGTGTGATGCACTGTACATGTACATGTGCCCGCGGCCAACGGGTCGAACATTTCGGGAAACACGCTGCATTGTATCACTCCAAATACGAGTAGTGCGATCTCAAAATGAACTCTTGAACACGGAAAATACATACACAGACAAGCTAGATCAAATCTGTGAATTAACTTGCAAAAATGTTCTTTCTCCATCAGTGTTTTTTGGCATTTTTACGATGTCTTTCTTGGCATTTTTACGATGTCGAATCCGACCAGTTGACAGAGCACGTGCCTGCGCCTGCATAGCTATGCTAGCGCTATCGATCGCATAGCCGTGCACAGACTAGTTACTGCATTTTCATCATTGGCCCCTGCGCGGCGCGGCGGGAACCAGTCGTCGCCGCATTGCACTTATTACGCACGTGATTATAGACATCGAATTGCGAAGTAGTTGAATCGCGAAGCGAATTTGTAAAAATAACGGAGGTTTCTTTTGAAAAAATAGCGAATGTAAGTAAGAAAACAATAAATACAAGCATTTTTTTATGCAAAAGGGTTGTTGAGAGGTATTTTGTGAAGACAGACAAGACATAAGGTTTTTATTTTTATTTATTCAATCATTTTTTTATATTTTTTTTTGGAATTGCCGATAAAAATTTTAGGGTCGCAGCTTAAAAATAGGGTCAGTCGGGTAACCGGAAGCAGAACTTTTCTTTTTTTTGGCCTAATCATTGAAACCCTCTGGTTCTCAAAATTTTCCCAAAGAAGGAGGTCTTTAATGGTGTCACTGTAAACTAACTTACTTGTCTGAACAACATAACATGTATTCACCTCATATAGCAACATCCTCTGGCTGTGGTCTGTGACATCACAAAATCACTTTCTTTGCACTATAGGCAAGTAAAGCAAAGGTGACTGGGGCTAGTACATTAGGAAGAACACTGCCCTCTGCCAGTAGATAGCCAATAAGCCTGCCAACAGCTTCATATTGCTCCGATTCAAGTGCTGCATAGAAATAACAATAATAATAATAATGATAATGGGTATTTATAAAGACTAGGTGCTCAAGGCGCTGTGCATCATAATTACCCCTGCTAGTATACAGTATACAGCTCTATGCTGCTATTTGGCGCACAGCTGCCCTCACAGGTGCCCTCACAGGTACCCATTTACACTCCTGGGTGAAGAGAAGCAAGTGGGAGTAAAGTGACTTGTCCAGGGTCACAACAAGTAGCCAACAGCAGGATTCGAACCCATGACGCTACATGTATGTTCCTACGTCACGGACCCTAACCACTAGGCCACATGCCTCCAGAAATCAAACGATTGATCAGATTATTTAGGTAGTAAAATGACTATTCAATTCAGTTCAGTCAGTTCACTTCACTTCAATTCAGTTCCATTCAATTTTCTCACTTAAAATAAAGTTAGGTTTTTTCATTTGCTATTTTTCGAGCAATGCAAGGATTTTTTAGTTTCAAATGACACTGAAGTTAAAGAAATTGTGTTTGTTCAGTTATCAAAGAACTATTCACAAAATTTAGTTACTAGCCAATGCCAACGACAAACAACTGTTCTTGTTAACTTGACACCTTCCATTTGAAAAAAATGTTGAAAAGCGGCGACAGTAGATTGTTGAAGTGGTACTTTTTAAAAACAACTGGAGTTTGATTTTTACCAAGGAGAAAATATATGTTGAAAGTTGTCTAGATGCAAAATGTCTAGCAGCAATTAAATTTTCACTTTAAACTAACTTTTAGTAATTGAAAGTAATGTGTGTTTTTGAAACTTTAGGGAACACTACAGGTGATTATTATGTCTGTTATAAATAACCCTTAATGTACTTACACTCATAATTTAGCTGCAGATGCAGGCCATCTGGTTGTTCAATGAACACTGGTAAATTCCCTAGTTGAGATTTTACCACTTCAGAAAATGAAGACCGTAATGCTCCTGCGTCAACACCGTCCTCTCCTCGGAAAGTAATTCCAATGAGTGTGCTCGGTGTGAATATCGCTTTCATGATGATATCCAGCATAGTGTCCAAAGCCTGGTCACGTTCAACTGTGAGTTGAATTTTATCATCCTCTTCAAAACTGCATTTGAGTCGCTGTAGTATTGCAACTAATGATTCTCGACTGAAAAAAAAAGGAAAAATAGATTTTGCAAAATCCTGATGCTAAGTGCTAAGGCCCCCCCCCCCCCAAAAGTCTCCGGTTTCTGGTATGCGAGCGCGTCACCGTAGGCATGCGCGTCGGCAAAATGAAAAAGTTTTTTTTTTAATGAAAGATGATGTCTCAAAACCGCCAAACTCACTGGTTTGACTGGAATCCTGCTGCTGCACAATTTTAACGTGTTTTTAGATGGGGTTATGATCGAGAATAAGCTTTATGTGGCCTCTCCAGTCTCCCATAATATTTGCACTAAGTATAGTCGGGCACCATTTGCAGTCATCAGCCGACATTTGAAGCAAAAAAAACAGGTAAAAAAAAAAAGCCGCGTCACCGCACCACTTTTTGGGCAAGCTCCATACCAGAAACCAGAGACTTTTTTGGGGGGGTCTAAATTGTCGGCAAATGGCGTCAGTATTAAATAATAACTTTATTGGGTTGAAAAGAGAGAGAAACTTCCTTTTATAAAGAAAGTTTCATGACAACACAAGGGGTCAAAAATTTAAATTATTGTCAATCAACCTTGTAAAATGTCAGCTTTTTACCGAAGGTAACTCAATATTTTTCATTTTTACATAAATATTTATACTTTGTTGCTTACTTGGCTTTAATCGGTGCAAGAATAAACATGTGTCTCATTGACAGTGCCAACTTGTTCCTATAATTTTTTTTTTCAATGTTGTCAACCTAATTCAATATCAGTTTCTGCACCCAGACTACATTGTGATGTGTGCATAAAGAACATTACATTATCATCACATTATTTGTAAGGTGTTTATCTGCGGTGAATTTATGATAATTTTTTCCATGTACTTGCTTAATTGTCCAGAATGTGCACTGTAATCAGTTTATTAACATTTTAGTCCAATATCAAACATTATCTTTACTGCCCATACACTTCAGCGATCACTGCAAAATGTTCTCATTGCTAATTCATGACAAGTACATGTATGACCACAGAGTCAAGCCAATTTCCTGAAAATAAAGAGCTACTGTTGGCAGGAGCGTGAAGTTAAAACTGTGAAGTTAAAGTTTTTGGAAATTAAACTACTCAAAACGGATTAATTCACATGGCGCTAACACACACGTTATTGGATTGAACTTAATTTATGTTTCAACTACAGCCCTACAGTTTGAAATCAATAGCTACTGCAAAGCTTACGGTGGCTTATTGTCTGTCACATAGGAGTCCACTCCAGAGACCAGTCTCCGTTCATATGAACAGCGTTGCTCGCATTCTTCGTAAAGTCTTGCATCCTGAAATATTAAATAAAAGATTTGAGAAAATTTTAAACAACCTCTTTACAGTGAATAGTTAATCAGATTTTTAAATGAAATTACTTGAAAATTTCAAGAAGGTCTCCATTGATCTAGAGTTGATTGTGAAGTAAGGACAATCTATAATTTTTGTGGGGATTGCACTAACAATTTTGGTCTTATCTGTACAATCCCTACAATAGCAAAATACAGTACAATGCAACAGCAACACAATACATGGCAAAATAACATCTTCCAATATTTAGAAGAAATTTTCAGGGTAAATTGAGCCCTTCAAAATCCCATCATTGTTGGCAAGTTAAAAAATAGTCAACATTTCATTTAACACTGAATGGCCTGAGAGTGATTTTTCCAGAAATGTGACGACAAGCCTTGGTCATGTATCCGAGCCAGAAATCAAATCCAGGATGAGGTCCCTACTTTCCAAGTCCACATCCTCTGTTAGCACCTTGCCAAAATCATAACCAACTGTCTGGCGGGTTAAACCAAAATCATATTCAGTGTCCAAGGCGAAGCCGATCGATGGAAACTAGAACATTCCATGGATCACCGAGGGAGCTGGCTTGTTTTACCATAAAGCAGTCAGTATTTGTTTTATAACACCTTCCCCACAGACTCTGCTTGGTTGTAATTTCTGTAACTATTTAAATCTCAATATGGTAAAAATGAACCTCTATTTCATTGCGAAATTGGTGAAAATATCTTTCTCGCTTTCAAGCCACCCCTTCACAAAATGTTCGAACGCACAACACTCAATGCACACAACAGCATGCATTTGCACAAACAGTGCCCCAAATAGTACTTTGGTTGCTAGAGTATAGTCCTTTTGGCTGTGCACAGAAAGATAGCAAAATTACAAAGCACCATGTGGCAGGCTCTTGGCCAATTGGGACACAGAATCTGTGGGTGAGATGTTTAATGAAAACTAATGACCCAAGGTGTTGGATGATTTGGATCTCCCAAGGCAAAACAATCAATCTAACACCGCACTATTTCCATGAAAAATCATGTTCAAAATCATGTATTGTTTTACTATAACTCATAAATTTTTAGCGTCTTTTTGTCTAAAATTTCAACAGCTCTTTCTCGGTTAAAACCACAAAGGGAGCACCGTCAGACGGCATTTGATGTGCCAAAAGGAAAGCGCATTCGTCGAGCTAAAGGTGTGATACATGTAGTACGTCCCTGGTTTTTGAGCGTCACACACCCTATCGAAGACGCAGGGAAACAGTAGAACTATCACATGGCAATGACTTGCTGAATTGGACCAATGGAATGCCTTGGCTGCCTCAGGAATATTTATGAGGTATAGTAATAGTGTATATAACTTAACTCTAGATGTGATTTTGGAGAGGTGTGAAAACAGTCACAATGTGGACACTGGTTATGGTTTGGGTTAGGAGGCCAGAGCGTGAATTTGACTTTGGAAAGATACTATAATACAGGTTGTGATTTTGGACCTTAATGACTTAGACCCCTAGACAGTCTCTGGACGGTTTCTGGAATGGAGTTTGCCCGAAAAGTGGTACAGCGACGCAGCTTTTTTTACTACATTTACAACAAAGTGTGTTGATACATCATCTTACATTACATCCATCCGGACCGTTGGAAGGAAGACCAACTGTTGCAAAGCAGGTGAATCTGCACTAGTAGCAGGACCAACTGGTGCAGTGTACAGCGTGGAAGGTCGACTAGTAGCAGGACCAACTGAAGCAGTGGACAGGGTGGAACTTCCACTAGTAGCAGGACCAACTGGAGCAGTGGACAAGGTGGCACGTCCACTAGTAGCAGCGCCATCTGGAGCAGTGGACAGGGTGGAACGTCCACTAGTAGCAGGACCAACTGGAGCAGTGGACAGGGTGGAACGTCCACTAGTAGCAGCGCCATCTGAAGCAGTGGACAGGGTGGAACGTCCACTAGTAGCAGGACCAACCGAAGCAGTGGACAGGGTGGAACGTCTTCTAGTAGCAGCGCCATCTGGAGCAGTGGACAAGGTGGAACGTCCACTAGTAGCAGCGCCATCTGAAGCAGTGGACAGGGTGGAACGTCCACTAGTAGCAGGACCAACCGAAGCAGTGGACAGGGTGGAACGTCTTCTAGTAGCAGCGCCATCTGGAGCAGTGGACAAGGTGGAATGTCCACTAGTAGCAGCGCCGTCTGGAGCAGTGGACAGAGTGGAAGGTCCACTAGTAGCACAACCAACTGGAGCAGTAGACAGGGTGGCACGTCCACTAGTAGCAGGTCCAACTGGAGCAGTGGACAGGGTGGCACGTCCACTAGTAGCAGGACCAACTGGAGCAGTGGACAGGGTGGAACGTCCACTAGTAGCAGGTCCAACTGGAGCAGTGGACAGGGTGGAACGTCCACTAGTAGCAGGACCAACTGGAGCAGTGGACAGGGTGGAACGTCCACTAGTAGCAGCGTCATCTACATTAAACTGAAATAGAAACAACATTATTGTCCATGACACATTTTCTTATAGCCCTTCTGGTTCAGTACAGTTGAGTTCATATACATAAAGGCTCATTGTTATGGTGAAAGCCTGCTTGTTTAGGGAACACTTCTACGTGTGCGTCATGTCTTAGCTTACTCACAGATGGCATTATCCATATTTTTGAGAGATTTCCCTTGGAAGCTCCACTCCGATCGGCTGATGTTCTAATAATGTTCCACTTTTTTAGCCGTAGGGCAGTGGCTGGAGCCAGAAGCACACTATGGAAGTGGCTTGATGAGTCGAGCTTAAAAAAGCCGAAGGAGTTGACGCCTCGCAACTGGGAAATTGACAGAGAGTCAACTCCTTCACCTCCCGAATAGGTGTGCCGGGGTACACCCTCAATGTAGCCCTTGGAAAGCCATTGGAACCTACAGGATAATCAGTGAGTGAAATTAGAAAACAAATGGATAAATATCAGTCGCTCAGTCGGTATCAGTCGATGACGTCATCGTGACGTCATTGCAGATTTTGACTACTTGTACCATTGCCTACCTACCCACCAAATTTCATAACTATCGTACATTCGCATAGATTTGTTTCTAAAAAATCATGTTTTTTAAAACGTCATCATGACATCATGACATGTACACCATACATGGGGGAAACAGCTCGCACTCTGCAGACCCGATACAATGACGTCACGATGACGTCATCGACTGATACCAACTGATCGACTGATATTTATCCATTTTTTGTCTAATTTCACTCACTGATTATCCTGTAGGTTCCAATGGCTTTCCAAGGGCTACATTGAGGGTGTACCCCGGCACACCTATTCGGGAGGTGAAGGAGTTGACTCTCTGTCAATTTCCCAGTTGCGAGGCGTCAACTCCTTCGGCTTTTTTAAGTCAAGTCTGAGTCCAAGTCACGAGTCACAAATGTAGAGTCCAAGTCTGAGTCACGAGTCAACTCTAACATTGTATTGAAAAATGTACATTTTAGGGAATTCAGAGATTCAGAGTCACCTTTGATGTAGTATTGGAAATACGAACATTTCAAGGTGCTGTAAATTTCCATTTTCCCCCACAGCTTTTCTCTAATTTTCTCTCGAAATGAGGAGTTCATTTGCAGAAACAGTTATGAAGGCAATTCAGACAAAACTGGTATTGGCCTAACTTTTGCATTTAAAGTTCAGGTGTTTTAAATATCTTTTTTTTTTAGACTTCTATTTTTCGTTAAGTGTGAAATAACCCAATAAATATTGAAACTAAATGAAAGGTGCTGCTAAAACCTCACAGTGTAAATTTTTTTACAGCTTTTCTCTAATTCAATGAACTTAGGTCAGGCACCAGTGTCTGGAAAGGATTTGGTACCCAACACTATCAAGCTTGCATTTCCGCAATATCAAGCTTGTGGACGCTGGGGTACAATGTTTTCAATACGTTAATTGAAAAAAAAAAACAATATTATCGGAAACAAGCAAGTCACACGTGCTGTGTATGAAGATGCGTTTCTTCTGCACCGCACAAACTATAGGCCTAACGCTTGCTCAGGAGAGGATCGTCTTCAAAAATTGTAATTATATTATTGAAAAAAAACACAGGTGATTTGTGGTAATTTTTGGTTGAGTTTCGAGTGCAAGTCCAAGTCAGAGTCCTCTGGGTCGAGTCCGAGTCCTTTGTCATTTGTCATCGTGACTCCAGTCCGAGTCCGAGTCACAGGAAATGGGACTCGAGTCGGACTCGAGTCCGAGTCGGACTCGAGTCCGAGTCGGACTCGAGTCCGAGTCCGAGTCAAGAGTCATACAATTCTGATTTTTAGTTCATGAGATATAAATTAAAGGTCCAAAAATTCGATTAATTCCAATAAAATCACGTGATAATGTCATCACCACATGACTGCCATTTTTCTGTGTAACACTTCCCGGAATAGTTGTGTACTAAGTTTCAATTTAATCGGACATACATTTCTGGAGATATAAGGCAAAATGAGAAAAAGTTTCAGTGCAAGATATCTCATGGTTGTCTAAGTAAGTATGAAGTCAATCAGATGTGGAAAAAAGGGTTAAAGAGGGCTCCAGAATGAAAATATGTGTTATCCTATGGAAAATGAGTTGGAAAAAAAAATTACAAAAACAAAAACAGTTCCGTTGTATACAAAACAGTTAATTAATTAAACCCACTATAAAGAAAACACAAGATTGAATCATGTGTGATGGAAATTATTTTTTGCACAATGGATGAAAAGATCTGACTCATTAAATTGCCAAATGAAGCTTGTGAACTGTTTCATCCAGAAAGAAATGAGTGGATCCCAATTCATGTAAATGAATCTTTCAGGAAATACACAAATTGTTTGCCCCCCCCCCCCCCCCCCCCATTTTTAGAAGGGATTGATGCCCTTGGAATCCTGTATACTCTACAAAAAATGTATTGATAAAAAATGAAATTTATACCTCTGTGCTGGTTTTGCATTGATCTGTTCAACTTAACACATCTCTTTGGCAGTACCATCATATGAAGTGAAATGGTGCGGCTGTTCACTGCCCTACTTTCATCAAACCGTTGCTGGGAAAACTGCTGCAATCTAGAATAAAAAGAAGTAGAACAAATTATAGGCAACTCAAGAATGGGCATTTCAGTACTCTCCTAAATCTATGCGGTCCAAATTAAAGATGATGCCTCCAGACGTGTAAAACTTTAAGGCCCTCTTTATATCGCCCTCTTTCATCAACATTATTACCCATTTATATGTGACATATAATAACTTTGCAATTTGCAATGGGGTTTAAGAAACACTGCAACAAACTTGACATCTTTCTGAAATTTGTTGTGTAATTTTTTTTTTTACACTGTTATTTAATTATACATATTTAAACAATGCATTTTTCTGTTGATAGGAGTAATTATTTAATGACACCGGATGATCTAAAAGTTTATTTTCAGGCAGTTTAATATTTTGTTCATAATTACCGGTAGTAGACCTCACTGATTTGTTTTACCTCTTTGGGAGATGGTCAGTTTGATAATCTGTAACATACTGTGAATTTAATCATAAAATTGTTGTTGTTGATGGTGGTTCTTGGCACTTTGGCAATCGAATGTGCCCTTTGTGCCAGTCTGTGTGGATCCCGATGTAATGTTGAAAAAGTAGCAGTAGCTGGGGTAGTTGACAATGTGACGAGTTCCCGATGTGGACAGCAAATCTATACTATTATTCACCTGTGCTGATATATTTTATCCTTCAAAGATAAAATAATTTATACTCAGAGACATACCTTGGCTGTTAGCTCATATATTATTGCATAATCAAAGCAGTGTAAGAATACACATTACAGTGCTTGCACAGCTAACTATAGGTGAGTATGGAACGCCAAAGAGGCATTTAATGTGATTATCGAATCGGTGATACACTTTTGCAATCGGTGATGCATATTCACGATCGGTAATGGACTTTCGCGACCGGTGATGGACTTTTACTGGTGATGTATATTCACGAGCGGTGATGGACTTACGCGATCGGTGATGGACAAGACTGGTCATCGCAGCTTTGATAACCGATTGCGAAAGTCCATCACCGATTAAATGCCGCTTTTGGCGAAAGAGGAACGCCAAAGAGGCATTTAATGTGATCACCGAAACGGTGATGGACTTTCGCGACCGTCGCATCTGTGTGTTGCGTCATAACCATTATCTATGTTCCTTGCTCTGGAGCAATTTAATTGCAAATGCGCAGAGCCTTTATTTTGCTCTTCTGTTTTTTTAATACCTTTTGCGAAAATCTGATAAATTTTACTTCCAGTTCCACGTAACCGATGTTATTTTCGAACCATGGTGTGTTTTTTTTATAAGAGTTAAATTTATATTAATCATTTTTAAGATTAGAAAATATTATCCAAAGAGCAATGATTCGATGTGTACATTTTTGTAATGCAGCCATTGGTACTCAATCTATTTCTAAGACCACTGTGGGAAATAGAGCTAGCTCTATGGTTTGTGCCAGCCATGTCTTCTTTGGCAATCAATCACCTTGTCCCTTTAGCCCTCGCAACAACACGTACTTCAGGTCTCCACTTACCAGCTACCAATTTTTTTTTGCAGTCGTGGAATTGGGGCACGATCGAGGTCAATCATTTTCACATGGGGGCTCACAAATTGGTTGTTCCACATGCAAACACGTTCCATGCACCAACTGACGTTCAGCAAAAGGAATCCTTTTCAATTTTAAGAACATACCTTTACATCATGTACATGATGTATAGGCTACAACGGTCTACAATCGAGCCGCAACTTCCGAGATCTTTTCGAGCTTGTCTTAAGTGGCCTTGTCAATTGTATAGTGCACAAACAGAACAGACATTCGCTATTTAACCCAATTGGTTACATTATTCTTTAACTAATGAATAATAAATGATTCACCGGTGTGCACAGTCTTTTTAAAATCATTTTGGGTACATAAACATCGGAGTTGTCAAAGGAAAATATTGAATAATGTATAAATAAAAACACACTAAAATTTCCCAATAGGAGTACAACCGCAACAGTTACCTATGTACCGACAACCTAAACAAAGCTTAATTAGTCTGCCCATGACGCCGGCAGCCTCCGTCGCCCAGAAATCACAGCATATTTCAGTTGAAGAAAGTGGGGTTTTTTGGGGGGGGGGGGGAGTGGGGTTTAATGTAAAAAAAACCACACATTTCGGCCAGCGTAGTCTCAGTTCATATGCTGGAAAAATCCAGGTATATCGGGGGAAAATGTTTTGCCCCTCTGCAAAAAAATTCTGGCGACGCACAAATCATTGTGTTTTATAGCCACATTACCAATGATAGGGAAAACCGGTCAAATTATAAATTATTATGGTTATATTAATAACGGCAACACCAAACCCTAGTTGGCAACAGCAGAGACTCAAAGCCACGACATACACAATATGCTTGACAATAAATGAAATACATGAACATGAGATATGTGACAATAATAACAAATGAAAATTATACTTGAATTACAAAAATAATAACTTCCCACATCATAGCCTCGTGACACTTGAGAGCGCTACGCCAAGTATCAAATTAGCCTAACAAAATAGAAAAACAAGGGATTGAAAGGTTTCATTTGCCCCATAAATATGAGGAGCAGGCTGTCTGTATCCTAAAAATTGCGAACATTTTAATCCTTGTAATTTATATAGTCTCTTGAAACCTTGGAGCACTATAACTGGCGGATGTAAGGGGTGGTGGTGGAAAAACATTTGTAAGGAAAGTTCCTCTGTGTACTGTCCATCATGTGCTCGCTTAAGTGTGCTTAAGTGACAAGAGGCCCCCACATATCTATACTAAGATTGGCTATTAGATGGATTGATGATGATGATGATGATGATGATGATGTGATTGCATTCCTGTGCCCCCTGTTTTACCATTTATTGGATAAAAACAAATTATTGTGTTGATGCCACATCCACAGAGGCGTGTTTTTATTCCAGATACCATCGATTGGGCATTTACCGGTTGCAATATGGGCAGCACCAAAGCCCAAAGCCACAGCGGCATACACTAACAACAAGGCAGTGGATATTTTGCCGGAGACGGCAAACCTTTAGTAAACGTTAGTTTACCGGATATGCACTGAACATGCGCAGTTACTGTTTTTTTGTACTTAAACATTTTCCGCTGACAAATTTTAGTCTGGCTCCATGCCAATATTATCGTTGTAACCTCGTATTCACAAGATGGGATTCATAACATTTTATAATTTCAAACATTTCGGGTAAACACCGTCCATTTATTTTAACACAATCTCCTACTATTTTAATATTTTTCGGCATTTCGGAAAACAATGTTATCAAGTACTTTATTTTTGTGAACTTCAAATTTTCCTTTTGAAACAAACACAAATTGGAACTTATGAGCAACACAAGTATGCTAACTTCAACTTAAATTTTAGTGTTGCCACAATATTTACGTTCTCATTTATCTTTTGAAATAGACTTTTCCCATTTCCCCAAAACTATCAGTTTTCTATTGCTATGATCATTCGGGAATTTGTTATTAGGGCATGGTATTATATTCTGATTTCATTTTATAACATAACTTGGCGAATAATTCATTTCTATTTTTCGGATTTAAAATTACATTATATGTACATAAAATATCCATATTCTTGCATAATTTCCATTTAAATAATTCTCCATTTGGGCAACAGTCATTTTATGCCACAGTAATTCCCATAATTCATTAGACATTTATTGTTTTTATGCATTTCAGATAATATCCTTGGAGCTACTTCATTAGCCCATTTCCCTTTTGACTGTCGTTTTTATACACCCAACCAAGTTTCTAATATAATTCTTGTGTAAATACCTAATAATTTGTATATATATTGTCTCTATTTGTACTGTAAATAAACCATTTCATATTTGTGAGACAACAGAAAACATTCGCTCTACCCAAATCATTTTTTAGTGGAACCCCTCGGACATAAGGAGAGTGCCACATTTTAAAAACTAACTAATTCCACTCTCCCCGGTTACACTAGTCTTCGTTACGGTGACATCATGTGAAACCTAATTTAATAAGATCTTTTGAGTTTTGAAAAGAACCCGCGTTTGACAAACATTTCCACCAGTTATTTAAATGAATTAGTTAAATCACTGGTTATTTTTAGAACCAGACAACTCAAAGGGTAACCTCTTACATGTAATCGACGCATAAAAACCCCTTAATGAGACATTGAAGGTAAGTCATTTGAAATAATATTCACTACAGCATTAACTGTACTTTATATAATTGGGATTGTGAATAAACACAACCCTACTAAATGGCACTGGTCTATAACACAATGTCCTCTCTGTCCTTCGCAATCTTTTTCAAAGAAATTCTTTTAAACAAATGCAAATAAAATAAAGGCAATTCATGCATGTACATGTACTGCATACATGTACACGCATTGCAAAACTACAGGGTGTATCAAAAAAAAGTAGACTCTCCAAAAAGTACCCGCCAAATTTACAATTGAACATTTTCATGAAATGTCTTCGTTTGCGTATGTTGGTATGGCCGTCCTGCTTCGGTCCACACCAAAATTAATTGCATAATTTCATGTATGACTGAACACAGGCCCGTTTTCCGGTGGGCAATTAAATGTCCTTCCTCCAAAAAATTTAAGGGTTAAAATTGGATAAAAAGTCTTAAACTGTAATGCAAAATGTGAATTTTTGTTTTTCTCCGTTTGTTTATTTTAGCCCACAAGTTCCCCCATATAAAAGCTGCCACATTGTCATGCCAGAGTCATTATTACCCAGCAGACCAGCAGTGAGACAACTTAACATCATATACATGTAGTCATGTATTTCCTCCTACCTGGAGAGTGTCTTCCTAGCTGTTTCTTTTGTCTGCTAGTCCAGTCATTGGTGAGTTTTCATTACTTTTCTTATTATTGTATAATTCCAGTTTTATATTTGCCTTTATGATACTCATATTATCCAGTTCAGTATCATTTTAGCTCCTTTTAAGATTGAGTTTTTTTTCCTATACATGAAATCGTTTGTGTCTCCGCTCTTTTCTTATAGAAGTTGTTTTAACTAGCCTTTTTGTTTAGAAACTTTGAAACTTTTGATTACTGTTTTAAGTTTTTATTCCAACTTGTTTATTCTTTTGGCTCATTTCTAAACATTTGAGGTGTCCATTCTTTGAAAATATTGAAGTTGTGTGATTCTAATAAGTTTTGTAATGTAAGTTTGTCCAAGTTTTAGTTGCTTGAGTCTAGGATTACCTGCATTTAAGTTTCATGTGTATAATATCCTCAGAGTTTAAGTTCCTTTTTCTTGCATTTTGAGTGGATTTTCATATTTTTCTAGATTTTTTTAGTTGCTCTTTTTGACTACATGTACATACATGTACTTGTACATAGACATAGACCTGTATTCATTTAGCCTAGACCATGCCTTAATCCTTAGTTCCCTCCTTCCTAGAAGTAATAGTTTATTGAGACAGTCCAGAGGATTTGCATATCATTATGAGGCCCATTGGACTGTGCAGGATCTTGAAGTTTATATGTGTTAATCCCTTGTGCACACAGTGGCAAACTTGCATTTGGACCCTTTTGTTGCTTAGAGCATACTTTAGTACATGGACTGTAGTTTCATAGGAGTTTTGTTTTATAAGAACTGTTTTAAATTGCAATTTGTTTGTATTTTCTTGTTAGAGGTTTTTAGTTCATTCCTGTGCTTTTAGAGTCATTTCCTTTAGTGCTGTGTGGGTTTCTCCTTTTTTTCTTCTTTGGGTTTTATTATTTTAACTTAGTTTTTTTTATCAAATTGTTAATTTTTTTATCCCTGGCAAATTCTTTTGAGTGTTTTATACGTTGTTGATCCTGATTGAGATTTTTTGCCTTGAAGTATTTCTGGAAACTAGTTTTTGCGCTTAAGGATAGAAATTGTTTTTTTTGTTTGTTGGAAGTTTTTTTTTTGAGACTAAATTAAATTTTGTGAGAAGTCTATTTTCGTTTCCTTGATTCCTTTTTCTTTCTTTTTTTTGTCCCAGTTTAAAAAGCTAAATCGCGACATAATCATTGGAACCAGGTTGTTTTCTCTAGTGATCCATTTTTCTACGTTACATTTTTGGTGCCGGAACCCGGGATGATTAATTTTCTTTAGGAATTTAGCCATTGATGTTTTTTTAGCTGGGACATTTTTTTTCTTCTTTGAAAGTTTTTTTTTTAAATCGAAACCCACACAGTGCTTTTTGGTTAATGAACTTGAGAAGTGCAGGATGACTAAAACACCATGACGGAGGTCCTGACTATCCTTCAGTTGTGTGGGTTTGACCCACTGCCCACCAGCTCTAACCACGTCGACCAAGTGCCGTTAGCTGAACCGCAGTTGAGCATCCTACAGCTGCTGCAACATCAAACACACATGCAACAAGTGATCGTACAGCAGTTTCAACAAATAAACACATTGAAATCGGTCCTCAGCCAAGTTATCTGTGAGCAGCAACAACAGAGGCACTACATTCAAAGTCTGCAGTGTGCCCTGCACCAGTCCTGGCCAGTTCCAGAAGTCCCCATCCCTCAGCCCGTTCCAGATGTACCCGTGTTCCCAGTCTCCATCAACGAACCAGAGCCCAAGATTCCAAAAGAAGCCCCTCGTGTCCCCCATCGAAGACAACCAGTAGTCCCTACCGTTGCCCCTACCAGTGGTCAGTCAAGCCAGGGTATTGGAGGCATCCGATGTAGCCACAGTCACCGTCTGCGCCAAGGACAGCAACAAGATCCTGCCATCAGGAAAGTGGTGGAACTTAAACTGTCAAATCCTATGAGGATCAGCCAGAGTACAAAGGCACGTCAACCTAAATCGGTACAACGACTACTGAATGTCTGGGATCGCCTGGATGTGGGAGGTGGCTTACTTTTGTACAGAAGAGGAGAAGGCAAGGGAAATTCTGTACTGGTACCAGTACTACCCCGCAGTTTAAGGGACAGAGTACTGTGCAGTTTGCATAATAGCATGGAGACAGGAGGATACGGCCATGTCCTGAAACAAGTGAGGGGGCGATACTTTTGGCCCAGCCAGCACAACGACACCATGCAATACATGAGGCAGCACCTGAAGAAAGTGAAGCAGCATGAGATGACAACCAAAGCTCCCCCTTCACATGAGTCCCAAGATGTACCTTCTCCAGCCGCTTTTAGAGTCATTTCCTTTAGTGCTGTGTGGGTTTCTCCTTTTTTTTCTTCTTTGGGTTTTATTATTTTAACTTAGTTTTTTTTATCAAATTGTTAATTTTTTTATCCCTGGCAAATTCTTTTGAGTGTTTTATACGTTGTTGATCCTGATTGAGATTTTTTGCCTTGAAGTATTTCTGGAAACTAGTTTTTGCGCTTAAGGATAGAAATTGTTTTTTTTGTTTGTTGGAAGTATTTTTTTGAGACTAAATTAAATTTTGTGAGAAGTCTATTTTCGTTTCCTTGATTCCTTTTTCTTTCTTTTTTTTGTCCCAGTTTAAAAAGCTAAATCGCGACATAATCATTGGAACCAGGTTTTTTTCTCTAGTGATCCATTTTTCTACGTTACAACATCATCATGACATAATAATTTGTGTTCAACAAAACCTACACTGACAATAAAAAAATGTGACATAAATGGCCCATTACTTCCATTAGTCCTCAAAAAAATGTGATAGCGGAAAGCAGAGTAACATTTAAACAGCATGGTTTCAAGACTAGCAAGACTTATTTTGGAATTTCCTACAATGAGGCATCTCAATGGATGGGTATAGTATAGGTGCAGGTACAGGGCCTACATGTAAAAGATTCATGTACATGTACGTTTATGAGTGCATGTAAAATAAATGCATTGATCTGTATACTGTAGATATACTGAGCAGCACATACGCATAGCTGCCAACTTTTCAAAATCCCAATTAGTAATCAACCCGCGCGGTCATTTTCAACTTCTCGTTTTATCAAAAGCTTTACCAACATCGAGTACAGGTACATGGTTTACATGAACACATACAAGTGCATACCCTTCTTGTTGTGAATAATAATGTACTGTAGGCCAAAAGATAATTTAAAAAAAAAATTAAAAATTAAAAAAAAAAAATTAAAAAAAAAAATTAAAAAAAGTTTTTTTTAAATTAATTTTGTTTTAATGTCTGTATTTGTTTGTTGAAGTCAAATAAATAATAACAACAATAACATGTGCGCATATTTCTTTTGAGATGCATGCTATCGATGTGTAGTTTCGAGTTCGTATCATGTTTTTACACACAATGATTTAGGGCCACCGTATTCAATAGAAATATCCCGCCAACATACCTTGCAAACGCATGCTGATTTATCTTTTCTGTCCGTTCAAACTCTATTAAACTCTAATTTAAAAAAAAAATTAAAAATTAAAAAAAAAAAATTTAAAAAAAAAAATTAAAAAAAGGTTTTTTTAAATTAATTTTGTTTTAATGTCTGTTTTTGTTTGTTGAAGTCAAATAAATAATAACAACAATAACATGTGCGCATATTTCTTTTGAGATGCATGCTATCGATGTGTAGTTTCGAGTTCGTATCATGTTTTTACACACAATGATTTAGGGCCACCGTATTCAATAGAAATATCCCGCCAACATACCTTGCAAACGCATGCTGATTTATCTTTTCTGTCCGTTCAAACTCTATTACCAATTATTCCAACCATACTCTTATTAAATTCCATGATTAAAATCTCGCACTGATGGGTCTCATTCGGGCAATAAGCGACTGAAAGTGCTCACGATCGTCACTGAAAAGTACTCACATACATGATACAGTACACACAACCACACATCCACGAGATGCACACAAATGACACACCATTGAAAAATATTTTTAGTCTGGTCCTAAAGTACTCCACTGCGCACACTGCATTGATGTCTATCAGGTGCTTGACTGCATTCTTATTAGACTTGTCACCAGTCCATCCATTATCCCGACATTTCGCCAGAAGTTTTTGGTCAAAAACGATACTTTACAAGTATTTTTTTTCGTTAGGTAGAAAATGGGAAATTCGTAATGTTTTAGAGGCAAATCGTATTTTCGTAATTTAACAAACAATTCGTAATAATTACGAAAAAATCGTACTAGTTGGCAGCTATGCATACAGACACAAATGAAAAAAATGACATCCACGTTGGACTCATTTAGAGATGAATTTACTTCATGCTCTGCAAGGAGACTTAACTGAATGTGTTAGATGGATTCACCTGAACAACATGTTGTTCAAGATTCATAACAATATGATAAACTTGAGACTCGGCGTTGTAACGAGTCACTGAGTTTTGTTACAAGCCACGTTGAGTTGTTTAAGAAAGTGAGTTGAGTGGAGTTGTTAGATCAAGAAGGTTGACTCTTAATTGAGTCACAAATATTTAAACACTATACAAAGACAATAGATCAAATCAGCGGTTTCACCTAATTCTAAGAAGCATAGGCCATCAAATTCAAACTGCACTATAGAAAATCATTTCGGATAATTCAAATGCTGCTGTGCTGTACTGTTTCAACACAAATTTTGCAGCGTAAAGGTTTGATGTTAATTTCATCTTTGCTTGGACAGAGTCTTTTGATGAGGGACTGGAGTCAAGCTGAGTTTAATAAGCCATCATGTGACTCATGTGGGACTTGAGTGGTGAAGTTATTGATCAAGTTATTACAGCAACTCTGTCCAAATTTGACATGGTCTGGTCTCAACTGATAAGTGATACTGTACGCACCAAGAAGTTGCCTTGATTCAAGGAAGGCAAAGAGTGTGTGATACACATTGGTCACCCCATTCCAAACATCGACCCAGGCTCTCTCAATCCGCTGGTTATGGCAACTTCTTCCACGGATGGCACTTCCCCTTCCAAATCCACGCATCAACTCCATGATGAGGGAGACATCTCCATTTTCCACTCCCTGATCCATCCTCACACGCGATGGCATGCCTTATTAGGTAAACAAAAAAGCACATAAAGCACAAGTTACAAATCAGTATCTTTACAAATACACAACTTGCAAGACTGGTTCACCTATTTCAGCACATTTGCATTTCTGAAAGTTTGGCAGAGATTGTTTGCAATGAATGATCTTTAGGATGGCACTAGGTGAGGATTTATGCTCCCCGTTTAGTGGTGATTGCAAGAAAGTTTGTCGAGTCTTTCATTAACTACATGTATAAATTGAAGACATGAGGCACTAATGAGCCTAGCCCAGATTGGACAGATGTCTTCATTGCATTACAACTGACGTTTAGAACGTGAATTCTCTAATCTGAGAGCTTATTTCACGCTCATATAATCTTAAAGCCCAGATTTATGCAGCCAAAAAAGTTAAGGAGTTCCATATGTCATGCTGACAGACATAACGTTACATTATATTGTTTTATGTGCACTTGTTAGCTGTTTCTAGTCAGAAGTGCATGTGCATCCGAACATACGGACATACACGCAGCATCTTCCTGGGTGACTGCATTTACACACGCAACTTCATGAACTATGGCGTGAATATGCAGTGCCCACAAACATGAGAGCCAGATGGGCAGTACAAATGAAACTTTATTACTAGTAGCATGCATGTTTAATTAGGTTCCACTTTGGTTTTACCTACTGGTGTTTTCTTTTAGGAAATCCCAGGATTGAAAACAAAAAAAGATCATCGTGCAGCACAGGAACATGCGTGCACACTAAATGTCTAGGAAGCATGGACGCGTACCCACTATCGATGACAATGGATGAAAAGAGTCTAAAGAAATGTACTAATCTAAAGTTGCGTTTGAGTTTATTTTCCTGATTAATGTCAATCAACATGAATTGAGGCATTCCTAAACCTCGGATGCATAGGTAACAACACATTACTAGGACATAAAGTGGCTTGACTGACAATTAAGGTAAAATTATCTAAAATAGTGATTGCAGTTTTTTTTCACCCTGTTCTGAGCCCTTCATATTCTGGACTCCGTCTGGTGAGTATACAGTGTGTATACAGCGGACGGAGTCCAATCTGGGCTATTTTGAGCCCATGACATAAAATAGAAAAAGTGACCTCTTACATATCTATGGAAAAAATACATATAAGGACTGGCGCAACTTTATTACAAATATCGTCTGCAGGTAAACCATACAACACTTTAAACATTACTTGGCCAACAAATGCTGCAATTTTTCATCACCTCAATTAAAAACCAAATTAGTGACATACATGTACGAGGAATAACCTACAATTGGTGCCATCAAAAAGTCCATGCTTGAGCAACAAGTTGAGTTTTCTCCAATGACAGTTTTTATCTGTTACACTTGTTTCGTGGGACACAAATTTGCACTTTAATTTGAAAAAGGGGAATTCAAATAACGCTAAAACAAACTCACCATATTCTCCTGCAGCCTTTACAAAATTCTCAAGAACAGTGGCAGCAAGGTTGTTTGAAGAGGCTTTGAGAAATACTAACAGTCTGGAGCTGCCATCAATGCATCCATGAATAATTATGCGATATCTGAAATAAAAAAAATGTCATTTTTTAAGTTTAACTTATCAGCAATAGAGTGTAAACAGGGTTTTCTGACAACAAATACCTTTAATATACAGGAATGCTGGTGTTTGCCTGTACTACTGTTTTTGTTTGTAATTTTGGGAGGAAGAGTGTAGAGTTGCTGGTTTTTTAAGAATTAAAATCATACATTTATATACATTACATTACTAGTTAAAGTAAAGAGTGGTTATTGCTAAAGATACCGTAATTTCCTGCGGATAAGACGCGTCTTATCTGACTTTCTAGACCACAAAAACATCGCTGCGCCTTATCTACAGGTGCGCCTTATCTGGTGTCGCTTGAGTTCAAAGTGACGGTCTTTGTGTGAAGAATTCTTTCAATGCCGCAATCAATAATGCGGTCAGCCAAGACTCAACTCTCCAGACATTGTGACCGTATTTTCATTCCAACAATGCCGCGATGTGTTGATCCCCCATGATCGTGCTTTCATTCCAACAATGCCGCAATGCGTTGATCCCCCTTAGTGATCGTGCTTTCGTTCCAACAATGCCGTCATACAAACGTATTTCTTTGTGGCCGTTTCTTATTCTGAAAATGCTGCAATCAGAATTACTTAAACGTTTGGAAATCGCATTCACTCAAGTTCTATTGTGTGAACGTTGAGGGTGTTTTTTGTACAGGATATCTTCAAAGTCTGCTTTAGACTTAGGATAATTTGAAGTACTAATGTTTATTTGTTGCACTTTCGTTTGTTTCATTAAACGTTCAAATCGTTTATTTATTAATTGCCTCTTTTTAGACGTTTGTTTTAAAAAGTATTATGGGAATTTGTATTATCTTATTATAATAGTAGGTCAGGATTTTTATTTTAAATATGGTAATAGGAGATTTGTTTTAAGAAATTTATATATTTAGAATAATATTATGATAAGATTTATGTTTCTGGATTTGTTGGG